GCGGGTCCATCGTCATTTTTTTATTATGTGATCGGGTTGGTTGACAGCTAAGCTCGTGTACGAAATCCCATAAAAACCGAGCACCCATTTTCACTTTTTGAGATGCAAATGTTCAGTGATGAAATTTCCCGGGCTGTTGGGTAAAAACTAAAAAGTGCTCTTTGGGAGGGGTTGGGAGTTAAACTCATAGTGCCCCGAAAGAGTTGGGGAAAGGGTGGGGGAAAGGGGGCGGGGGGCAATTTCATCATTTCCGCTTTCCGTCTTCGGATTCTAGCGGGGCCTTTTCCGGGACTATGTAATCACTTTACCAACCTTTGTATCCCCCCTTGAGGGGGGTATGGTGGTTATCTTTCCTAGTCCTGTCATTGATCACTTTTTTTCCCTTTTCTGTCGTCATATCTGTGTGAGCCCCTGTCGGTCATGGCATTGTATCATGTGGGGAAGGGAGGGTTTTGTATGAATCCCCGGAGATAGGGATGCCCCCAACTGGGGTGTATCCTGAGTGCACTGTCATTCATACACACACAAATATATAAATATACATGCTCCCATATATATACACACATGCACACTCATACCCACATATACATGCATACAGTAATATATTTCTATATCCATGTACTCGTTCATCTTTACCTTTGGCACAGCTATATTCCCACTGTCCTGTCCATACGTGATCCCTTACCATCCGCCTACATACACCGTGTCTTATGTATCCATCCTATACATAAATGCACTTATACTACCTGCACTCATCCTTGTGTATGTATCCATGTTCACATCTATGCACTCATCATACTTACACTACCTCCCTTACGCTAGGGTGTCCAGAGTTACCATCTGATCCGTTCCTTCTGCTGTACTGAGTAAATCCTTAATCTGGTCTTTTTAGTTTTGTTTTGTTTTAATAAGGAACTGTTTAACCAGTTTTTGGATGTCTTTATTGCTATCTACCTTTAAACATTTGTTTGCAGTAATCTGTTGTTTGCGTTTTAGAAAATACTCCTCAATGGGTTTCCTCTCCAATTTATATTTAGTGCAGTTTATTATATAATGCTCTATTGTATAATCTTGAAAGCAGTCCAGACATAGTGGAGATGTAAATTTCTCTGGATGCCACCCTAACCTAGCTCTCCATAGTAGTTTATTAGTTGGGATTTTCAGTTTGTCCCGTACCTGTGTGTTAAGGCTGGGCTCTTTACGATTGTTGTAGGCATCTCTGCCTTTAGTGCTCCCTTGCCATTGAAGTTTCCACATTTTAACTATATGTCGTTTGATTATGCTAGTCCTTTGTTTTTCCAAGTCCTACATCTACTAAAACATCACATTTAGCTCCCTTTTTGGCTGCTATGTCAGATTTTTCATTGCCTATTACACCTCTGTGTGCTGGTACCCATGCAATGGTGACTTGGCATCCTTTATTCTTGAGCTGGGTTGTTAGATTTAAGATTGTTTCTTTAATATCTGGCCTACTGCTAGTTTTATGTGTTTTTAATGTCTGCACTGAGGACAATGAATCTGTCAGTATGGTAAATTTAGTTGGAGGTTTATTAATTACCATCTCTAGTGCCTTCATTATGCCAACTAGTTCTGCTGTGCATACTGCCACTTGATCTGTTATTTTATGTTCTTTTTGCACATTCCACTGTGAGATTATTACTCCTGCTTCTACTTCTCCTGCTTCATTCTTAGATCCGTCAGTGTATGCAACCAGATTGTCTGATCGGATCTGGTCTATGTATTCTTCTGTTATTGTTTTGGCTTCAAATGTTTCAGTATTCTTATTAATAATTTTCATCAGACTCATGTCTGTCCTGGGCAGCTCTAGTCTCCATGGAGGGATTTGAGGGACAAACCTAACGCTTGCCTCTAGAGTCCTAACTAAGTCCTCATCATTGTTAATTTCTAGTGCAGCGTCCCAGGCTGCTGGTCTCTGTATATCTCTGACCGGTCTGTCACCTAGGTGGGTAATGTTATGATAAAAGGCGTCTGAAGCTGGGTGTCTGGCATCGTTGGCCGCTTTCATCCAATAGCTATAAGTTTGTTGCTTCCTTCTGAGGTTAAGCGGTGTGATGCCTAGTACTACCTCCATGGCCTCTCTCGATGTCCATTGAAAGCGCCCATGATGGAAGTCAGAGCTTGGTACTGAATCCAATCAAGTTTGCATTTGCTGTTCTCTGATGCTGATTCATATACTACGCTTCCGTATTCCATTTTGCCCCTAACAAAAGCTTTATAAAATTGTATAGGGGTGTCCTGGTGTGCTCCCCATCCGTTTCCTTTAATCATTCTCAGCATATTATTGTACTTTTTGTACTTTACTACGAGATCATCGATGTGCTTAGCCCAGGTCATTTGTTCATCCAGAATCATTCCTACCGGCCTAGCAGAGAATATTTATATGGTACATACTCTCTCTCTCTCTCTCTCTGTGTGTGTGTGTGTGTGTGTGTGTGTGCGCGCGTGCGTGCGTGCGTGCGTGCGCGTGTGCGCAAGCGCGCACGCGCGGCGCACGCGCGTGCGTGCGTGCGTGTGCATTGTGGTATTGAACAAGGGAAGCATACCTGATTTCAAACAAATGCTGCACTAATGCTATAAACATGAGCTCAAAGACACACAGTTTTGTATCTTTGCTTTAAATTGACATGCAACAACCAATTTTCTTTTCAGCAGGAAAAAGCACACACATGCACTCACGCACTTACACACACGTATGCATGCACGCACACCCACACAAAGCTGTGTTTTATGTATTGATTATCCATTATTTATAACTTATACTCGTCATCCCCTTGTGGGATGCAATTTTTAGTTATTTTAAATCCCCACCCTGGCTTTTGCCGGTGGCCCTAAACATAGCCGGGCCTGAAATATGGCCTAATGGCTGAACAGGGTTTTCGGGACCTCTCCACGAGCCATCCTTATCCGCATGGTGGCACTTTGTGTCTGCGGGTGCTTATCGCTTGTGTGATGTCCTGGTGGGGTACAGCTTACATACATACATACATTATTTATAACACAGTAGTTGTCTTTTTGTGATAACTTGATTGCTGTTGGGAAAAGCTTTATTTGTTTTTTCACATAGGTTGGTGAAAAGCTGGGGAGGATGGACGTGGAGAAAAGACAGGCTGTGGAGAATGAAGACTATGACCAGGCAAGGTTAAAGAAACAGCAGATCGATGAATACAGACTACAGATTTATAAAGACCTCAATCTCAATGACTTGCTTGAATTGCCTGGGGTAACGAGTTGTTTTTCTCATTTTCTATTTTACTTGTCCTCAGTAATTATAGCAGAAATGTGTAATAAAATACTCCTCTGCCATTAATAGTAAAATATTTTAGACACATGTTTTTGAATTTAAAATGTTGAATGTTAAATTAAGAATCGACTTCATAGCACTGGGACACCTCCATAAGCTCTCTGTCCCCATCTTCAGCAGCAAAGGAAGAGTTCCAACTCCGATAGCACCAAGTAACTGTCTGATAAATAAAAATTTTGAATTGAAAAGAAATATTTTTTGTTTACTCTGCTGCATTGTGAAGAAACCTGAACAGTGAACAAGCACCTAGAACATTGAAGTGAGTCTCTGCAAGCATGAAGAAGGTTGTATTTCATGAAAACAAAAGCAGCCAAATACAGAGATTCTGACTGGAGGGAAAATTGCAATGAAACAAGAGGTAGATAATGATCCAAGTGAGAGAACAACATAAAGAAATGGATGGACAGCAGTCTAAGAAAGTAGAAAATAGAGAGTGTTGGAAATCTGTTGTGGCCAGCCTTCATTGTGCAAACACACCAGACTGATTGATTGATGTTAATAGTATTCTCCAGTGACATCAGGGAAAAATATTTAACACACAATTTACGACATATTTTACAAATGTGTAAATACTCATGTGACATCAGGAATCACATGTATTTAACAGGTATTAGTTCATTTAACAGAAATATGCTAATAAAATACACCCATGACATCAATGAAACATATTTTGTATTTTGTAAAGATCCTTGTATAATGCTCAGAGCTGTAGTTTTGTAGTTGCTTGGACTTGCTTTCCAGCATGCTGGTTCTGGGTTGAGGCCTGATTATTTGTGTATTATATGTATATATATATATATATATATATATATATATATATATATATATATATATATATATATATATATATATATATATATATATATATATATATATATATATATATATATATATATATATATATATATATAATTATAAACCATAAGTTCTCTGCCACCAGTACGGACTGCTGATAAGAAACTGTCCGCTTGCGTCACCGTCTGCACGCAACTGTGTAGCTACAGTGACTTTCCTCTTTCCTCCATTTACCCCAGAGTGTTAACACTGGTACCCATTACCTAAAGGCTAGGCGAACCCCGGGAACTGTTCGGTTTCGAGCACCGGCAGTGGGTTGCAGCAAGTTGCAATGGATTTGAAAGCGAGGTTCCTGTTGACTGCAGAAACGTGGCCCCCGGTATATATATATATATATTTTTTATCATCATTATCTTAATTTCCAACAGAATTCATTGCTTTGAATTCATTGTCTGTATTTGTTGTTATGAATTCATTTCAAATAGTATAATTTGACTTTTTCAGAATCGACATCCACGTCCAATAAACTTAGAACCTATTCCCCGACCTATTTCACCACCTGTTAAAGATTTGCCTCGCACGCCACCTCGTTATGAGGAGAGAACTCTACCTCTGAGGTGAGTTTTTATATTATTTATAACATTAATAAATGTTGTAGATAACATTGAGTATGATTGGGAACTGACTGACTGACTGACTTTCTACCCCACCAGGACATCACACAATCGATAAACCCGATGACACTAAGTGCCACCATGTGGATGAGGATCGCAGTGGAGAGGTCCCAGATACCGCGTTCAGACTATTGGCCATATTTATGGCCTGCCTATATTGCGGCCCCTGGCAAAAGCCAGGGTGGGGCTTCAAAAACAAAAAATATCGCCCTAAAAAGGATGAAACTGGAAATGAATAAGATTGGGAACATTAGCTATATCAAAGTAAATCATGTTTTGTTGAGCAAATTTTGTTGTATAGTTTATTGCATACAGTTTTATTGAGCATTTTATTAAACATATCACCAAGCACAATAGTGTTGTTGGACATATTTGAGTAATGAGGAAAGATACAAGCAATAAAATAATTTTTTATAAGCAACAAGTGACATACTTACAACTTTACTACTGACGACTGAAGAGTTGAGGTCAGATATCGCAGCCTAGCTGTTAACCACAATGCAACGTGCCAACGGCCCTCTCAAGGGCGAACGAAGATTACCCGTGACATGATCATTAAGCATCACGCCGCCGCTGTCGCAGGCTAGCTGTAAACCCCAAAACCAAAAAAAGCGTAGATATCCTAGCCTAGCCATAAACCACAACACAACATGCTAGCCGCCCAGTTAAGGGCTAAAAAAAATATGTCACCTAGCGGGGAATCAAACGCGGGTCACCTGCATGATAGGCAAAATAGTTAACAACTACGCTACGAAACACTCAAGTAAATAGTGGAAATGAAATTATATAATAATGCAAAGTTCAATAAGAGCTCAGCAGTCAAATATGGCTGATCACATAAAAACAAATCCGGGCCGGCAACGAAACAAATAATGATTTGATCGCTGCTGAAGCTACGTCGTTCGTGGTTTGTGTGTGCGATTTTGTGACAAAAAGATCATGCTTGGAGTCAAAGGCAACGTTGTGTTCAAATTTGAAAGCAATCGGTTCAGTAGTTTCCGAGTTTTTAGCTTACATCACCAGAAAATTAAGATTTTTATTAATATAGATTTAAATCAGAAGAAGGGTGTCTTTGGTTGAATATTTCTTCAATCATCCAAGGAGATAACTGCATTATGCCTATTTACAAGATGGCTGCAATACTTGCCCTTGTTGGCATTTCTTGTAGGATTATCTCAACTGACAGAAAATAAAGTTTGTGTGTTTGTTTATTCTTATTTTTTTTTTTTAATGGGTTGGCATATTTTGCTTATTTTGTCATGTGATTTTAAAAAACACACACACACACACTCACTCACTTACACACACTCACTCACTTACTGACTGACTGACTGAATGACTGAATGACTCACTGACTCACTTACTGACTCACTAACTGACTCACTGACTGACTCACTAACTGACTCACTGACTAACTCACTGACTGACTGGCTGACTCACTGACTGACTGACTCATTGACTGACCCACTGACTGACAAACTGACTAACTTACTGCCTGACTGACTCATTGACTAACTGACCCACTGACTGACTGAATCACTCACTCACTCACTGACTCATTGACTAACAGACCCACTGACTGACTAACTGACTCACTGACTGGCTGACATACTGACTAACTGATTGACTGACTGACTCACTGACTCCCTGACTTACTCACTCACTGAGTCACTGACTCTCTCACTGACTCACTAATTCACTCACTCACTCACACACTCATTGACTCACTCACTGACTTAGTGACTGACTGACTGACTCACTAACTTACTCACTAACTCACTCAATCACACACTCACTGACTCACTCACTGACTCACTCACTCTCTCTTTCTCTCTCACTCTTTTTCGTTCACTCTTTCTCCCTCTCTCTTTTTTTCTCTTTCTCCCTCATCCCACCTTTCTCACTTTCAGTCTGTGTTCTGTTTTGTGTTTATTTTTCTAGCAAAACATACACGCACACACACTCACTCTCTCTTTTTCCCTCATCCCATCTTTCTCACTTTCAGTCTGTGTTCTATTTTGTTTTTATCTTTCCAGTAAAATTCTTAAAATGGTTGCCATTTTTAATATGCTGGGTCAGACTCAGATTTGAGGCTTTCTTATAAAAATCTCAGAAGAGTCCCCATTTTAAAATAAATTAATTAAAAAAAACTTTGGTTCCAGCTGATCGTTGTGAGCAGAGTATCTTATCTTCTTTTTCATCTTCTTTTTCTCTTTCTTCTTCTCTAGTCCTGTTCTGTCTTTCAGTGTCAAGTGTTTAAGAGGTATTGGGTGTAAGCCTTGGTATAGGCTAAGTAGATACTGGTGTTAATTATCTTAGATATTCCCTCTGTCTGTCGTCTGCTCAGTCTAATCTGGCTGGCCAGCTGGGATGAAATTCATCTGGTTAAAGTCTCCCTTAAACTGTGACAGGCCCAGCAAGCTGCCAGGGGATTCAGTCTTGCTCAACATACAATAGAAAGAGAAACTGAGCTGATACTTACAGAAACTGACCAGCAGCATATCATTCTTGACACAATACATTATCAGATCTCTGGTAAATAGTGTATCCTCTCTCATGTATAGACAGTTGGTTGAACTGGGCTTTGTAAAGTCAAGTGCAGCTGTTGTCTAACTGATATATTTTGTGTACTCGTCATCATCAAGTGCCTTGCCGATTGGCCTGGACAATCATGCTTCTGCACATCTTCAGCAACACATATCATTTCATGTGCTGACACCTCCCTGTGTTGTTAAGTATCTTCTCTTATTGTCATAAGTGGCTCTGCCTAAAATTCTACCACTGTTAGCCTATCTCTAACATCCACTGGCAATTTTAAATGAAAGAAGGGTATCTTTGGGTAATTCTTCATTCATCCAAGGACATAACTCTATTATGCCTGTTAACGGAACAGCTGTGATATTTGCCCTTTTCAGAAAATTGTTGTAGGATTATCTTTACTGTGAAAAAGTAAAGTTTGTTTGTCCTTTCATCTTTCTTAAATATTGGTATTCTAAGAATATTCATCTGTTAATTTTCAATTTTACTTAAATGATTGAAAAGTGATATTACAGAGTTAATTAGAATATGTATATATTCTTTGTATTACACACTTTTATTTTTTGCTTGAATTGCTTGTAGTGTTAGAAAGCTTTAATAGTTATGCCATGTAAGCACAGTTCACTTTGATTTGCTTTGTAACCAGCACTAAAATTACATTGGTATATAAAGAGTTAACTCTTGTTTGCTATGTAAGCACAAATAACATTGGTTTGCTATTTAAGCGCAGTTAATATTAGCTATACAAGTGTCCTCAGTCAGCAAAACACACACCATTTGATCTAGCAAACCATAAGGTGCATGTCTCCTTAAACACACTGCGATACCAGGCATCATCGCTGAAAATCGACTTTATTTGACGAATAACAGGGCGATGATTAGATTAAAACTATTCCTGACCATTCTCCACGTGACCTCGGCCAAGTTGCAGCTGCAGCCAGCAAATAAATAGAAGCTATAGCTCACGCCTTGTCCCAGGAACACAACGAAGAAAATTACATCACCCATCATTGCCATTATGTACGAATCTGGAACTCAGTCAATAACCAATAATCACAGCTCATAGTGCCGCCAGGAGCACTAAACTCAGTAGCTCCGGCTGCAAAGCGGACTTCCACAATCTTGCAACATCCAAACTGGAGGAGAAACGGCGACAAGAATGGTCAACATAAAGCCAAGTTCTCAACTGTCATCCATTCCCTATCAGTGTCGGAACCGGAAGTGATGTATAAGCCAGGTAGCATAGATAGAGCACTGACTGGCTTAATCCAGTAGTATGGATTCTGTCACCCCTAACAGAGGTGTTGTTTGGGACCACTTACTCTAGAGTTGACCCTGCCCTGTAAAGTAGATCCCAAGAATTTATCTGGGAAGTAAAGAAAGTGAGGAAGATAACGGTCACAACATCTCCTAATGCTGTCACTAGTGTACATACAGTCCTACCACTTTGAAGTTGCATGCTGGTATTTACTATAGGACCATCTTTATTAGTATAAGTATATTTGTAAGAAAACAGCATAAGCAAACACACAGTCAAACAGTAAAATGAGACTGATTTTGTTATAGCCAAAACAAACAAGCCACCCATAAAGTCAAGCTTGTTACCGAAACAAGCACCATTTGTATGTGATCTGGCAACATTGTAATCCCACCTGGTCAACAGGAAACAAATAACCTGCCATTTTATTTATTCAATGAAAGTTGCATTGTTGCATATGCAGCATGGAGCCAAGGGTGAACATTAATTCTGGTTCCAACTTGGAAAAGTGCTCTTGAAACCATTGAATGGATGAGATAAGTTTATGAGGATAAGTGTTTGTCAAATTCAAGGTCATATTCCTTTGCCTTCATCCTTACAGCCAGACATCAGTCTTTGAGTATCCGTTCTCTTACTTTGGTAATGAGTTTATCATTACGAACAGAAACTGGATGCCTGGCTCCATCTTCAATCTGTTTCACACCAGTTCTGAATCATGGATACCACCTCGTGCACTAGATTATATAATGTTCAGACTGTGTACATATGAGAACAATAACCCTCATTTCTACACAAACAAACACACACATATACATGCACGCACATACACACATGCACCAAAACACACATACACATGCATGCACGCACATACACACCCCCCCTCACCCCACATATAGTCATATTTACCTATGAACTAAAAATGACTATCCTCTACCATTTTCTTTGATATTAATTGTTTTGCTTGCAACTTGTCTAGCTAGCAAACAAGGAACAAGTGATTTTTCTACTGCTTAAAGAAATAGAATAGAAAAAAAAAGAAGTGTAACCAGAGTATTCTAAATAGCTGTATAGTGCTTCTGAGAGCCTGACGACATTTAAAGGACAGTGACATGGAATAGCAACTAAAAAATATAGGAATAATAAATCTGGACACTGCAAGAGGAAGATGATGTGATGAGATGAGATTAATAGCTTTCCCATGACATTTTGTGTAGGCTTGTTCTTATTTGTGTAATTATTTCACAAATGGCTAAATAGTAATTTTTTTGCGGGGGGGGGGGGGGGGGGGGGGGGATTGTGAAAATTAAAGTTTTAGAAGCCTAAGTCCCAAGAGCTGAGTTATTGTGGCCATGTTGAGCATCATGGTGGCTTGGAGAGAATGGGGATGGAGGGTACAGTTTCTTGAAAAGGAGGCAGAGGCAGACATTCATGAATGTGGATGCAAGACATTGAAGAAGCATTGGCTATGAAGGCACATAGAGCTGGAGAATAGGCTAGAGAAGGAGAGACTTTCAGGTATGCTGTGAAGAGAGCGACGTTCTGTAAAGTACTTGCTGACTGATGATGATGTTTCCCGATTCTCAGTTAGATGAAGTTTAGAAAATCACAAGTTTTTATTTTTATCCCTGATCCCATAGGCCCCCCCCCCCCACACACACACACACATGCACTCACACACACACACCACACACATATACACACATATTGTGTAGTTGATTGCTAGTTTTATAACACGCTTCATTAACCTAACTAACCTATGCTGTTGTTAGAAAACTAGCAGTAGAGTCAGTAGATGCTTCATCTGAGGGCCCAGTGCTGGGAGAGAACAAATCTAACAACAACCTATCCCATGCACTCCATGAGGAGCAGCTCCTTCCTGTTCGTAAACCAAAGTGAGTTCATAAAGAAACTAATACTTCTGTTATCAAACTACTGCTTACATCAGTCCATCAATAGGACTTGAGAGTGAGCGGCCAGATTCTTGTTTAACTAATACAGGCACATGACATTAAAGACATTCTTGATAATAATGTTGATAAACCCACTCTTTCTCTCCCACTTGCAATGTTGTTGTAAAATTAAGCAGTGGTGGGCTGAGAAGTAAAGAGCACTTGGTTCTCATAGGGAAGACTTAGGTTTGAATCCTGGGTAAAGTGGATTTTTTTCTGTTAGGGGGGAAAATCAAATCTTGACCTGCACAGTCAGTGGTGACTGCATAACCATGTGGCCCTATATCTTCTGGCTCATAGACCCTGTCTGTAGACCCAAACGTGGTCAGTACCAACAATAATGGCTTTTTTTTTTTTTTTTGCTGTTGTTTAATTCAGTCATCTACAATATTTAATATTAGCTGTCAGTTCCTGATAAAGCAAATGTTGTATGTTAAATTGAGAATTGACATCGTATCACTCAGGACACTCCCATAAATGTTCCATCCTCCTTCTTCAGCAGCAATCAAAGAGTTCCAATTCCCATGGTACCAATAAGTGTCTGATTGTACATCCATCCGGCCTTTTGGTTAAGTATTGAGCATCGGCCAGATCCCCTAATAAAGCAAACTTTCCTTTAATTATTAACTCTAATAGTAATTATGGGATCTCTGTGGTCTTGCATTCTGAGGTCCTGGGTTTGATTTCAAACTGCCCTCGGTTCTTGAGTGCATACATTTATAAATCTGTTAGGGTTGCCACTGAAGCTACAGTACCCTCGCTTTTAAAGATTTTTTATTATTTATTAACTATTGTGTTTACAAACTGGTGACATATTTGTGATAATTTTTCTGTTTTATTTATCCTGGAAACATGATTTATTGCATGGGCTCCTATTTTCATCTGAACGTTAATGTTTTATACACAAATATTATTTTAGACGACCCACGTGTATTGAAACAAATGTTTTCTTTGTATTCTTCATCACTGGTTTAATTTTAGTTAGGCAACCAAACAGAATGTACAGTCCAAACCTTTACAACTTGTCACAAGACTTGGAAACGATCCAGCAGACTCATTTCACTATAACAGTCATCATAAAACATATATCAGCAAACTGTAAACATATAAGAATTGTTCGCTTTTGTTGTTGCAGGTTATTTTATTTACATACAATCTGTAAAACATGTAATTTCTTATTGATATTACCTTATTTTTTCTGGGGTTTTAACGCTCATTTTACCATTATCTTTTTATTCATTTTTATTTTTGTTTTGTTTTTTTAAACAGTTACTACCTCTTCTTTTGCTAGAGTTTTAGGTCAGTTCCTTCCATAATTTTAAAGACGTTTTGTTTCCTAGTATTTTATTAAATTGCTTATATCCATATTCATAAAAGCTATAGATTTTTTCTGCTTTTAGTGCAAATAGTTGGTGAAATTTTAAACATTTATTGTTTTCATAGATTTTTATTGTATTTTTTAATTGTTAATAAAATCATTTTGCTTTCTTATTTCAAGAAAGGAATTCCTAAATTAAGTAGAGGTTCAGAACTTATGAGTTTGCTGTGGTTATTGAAGTTGGTTTACTAAAACCTTTGAAGTTAACTTTTTTTTTTTTTTTTTAAACCATTGACAAATAAAAATTAGTTGCACATCCTCTTTATGATGTTTAAACCCAGCATTTATTGCTTGTAGCATGGTATTACTAGACAATCCTGCATTCATTAGTTCGCCATTACTTTCCTAATAATAGGATGCTCAACACCATTGTCAAAATCAACACAAAGTGGTCATGGAATTGCATGCAACTGATTTGATTCTTGGGATGTCCAGATTGTGAAACTGCATTCACAGCCCTAAGCTACTGACAAGAATTAACAGCAGTTAAAATCAAGTATTTGTCCTTTCCCTTGAGATATGATGCTGGTGTTTTGGTGTCAATTTGATTTCTTATCTTTCTAGAACATTCCCTGTCATTGACGAATTCCCTCCAGAGGCTGATCTAAACCAAGGTTAGTTATTTTACAACTTATTTGTAATGCTTTACAGGTTACCTCAGGCATTTGTTTTCAAAAGCATCTAATTCCTTGTCTGGTGGTTTCCACTTTCAAAATAAAGTAAGATTAGAATTGAAAATACATCGCTAGGTTTTAAAAACTTTATAACTTCCAAATGTATGCATAGTTTTTAATTCATTTAGATTTTAATAACCAGATGACAAACACTTAAAATCCCTAGAGGCTGAAACTATGTCTGAGGGTGACCTGAGAGAGGCGTCAACAGCCATTGATGTTTTTGGCCTTGCTCTGGTAAGTCAACCATGGGATATGTATATGTTTTCTTTCACCTGTTTGTTTGTTTGTTTGCTTCCTATGGGCCTTTTCACTTAACTTTTAACTTTAATTGTTCTTTTGGGCCTTTTTAACTGTTCTTACTGACTTGCTGTGATTGATACTGCATGATAGATGCAATATTAAGTTCATTAGAGTGTTTTGACACTCAGAATAGAAGACAGGTTAAAGAATGAGTGCAGTCTTTGACTTGATTGCTGACTTCCGGAATCAGATAACTAGAGCTACGACCATGTGAACTTGCAGTTGGTAGTCCAAGAAACAGGCTACATTGAGAGGTTCTGTAATTTATGAAGGCCTAACAAAAAGAAATGGGACTTTAAAAATTTTTCAATAATTTTCTTTATGTATAACTTGATTACACTTGTCTGCTTTGAAATAGTTCCCGTCAGTGTTGATATTCTCTTCCCATTGTGTCCCATTTTTTTAAATAGATTCAGGGCATAATTTTATGGGATAGCATGGTAATCAGGTATTCACAGTTCCAACATCACAGTAGACAGGTCATGCTATAGATGCTTTATTCATGTGTCGGCAAAAACCTCACAGAATGCCTGTCACTGTTCTTTGTGAAAACATTGACACATACTGCAGCCTCAGCAAAGCCAAAAGCATACACACTCATTAAATCCCATGAGGCAGCATTAGGTCTGTGGCAGCAGTCCTCTCACCATTTCTGAATCTGCAGTTCACAACACAAAGCCTGTTAGGCACAGTCAAAAAAGTACTCCAACAGAAATCTGCAGTTCATTGTTATGCCATACACACAGCTCAATAGCTTGGTGATGAAACTTTATCCATTCAGTTTGCATATGGGGGAAATGCTGTGCCTAACAATTGTCAGAAGCAAACATTTGCCACAAGTGAAACCATAAGCTGCCCATCCACCAGCTTGACCAGAAGATGTGTGGGATAGCTTGGATGTCTCCTAATACATTTTCCATGATTCTCTTCAATGCTTTGAAAAAAAAATAGCTTTAAGGTTGGATTTCAGCTTTGGTAACAAGAAAATATCTGTAGGGGCGAATCTGGAAAGTAGGGCACCATCCACAGGTCCTTTTTGGAACATTGTTCCAATCATGGTCTGCCAGGAGGACTCGTGGTATCTTGTCAGCATGTATTTTATTTTCTAGGTGTCTCTAATGAACAATATCTACTTTCCTACTGGTCAGGGGAAGAGCCAGTGTCACATCAGATGCTGCTTGGGGACGAAAGAGTTTAGTTATGTGTGATATTTCCAGAGAGAAGGTCTTCAAGTTGTTTGAATTGGTTACTTCTCGTCTAACCACTGTGTCTAATAAAGTTTGCAAAATTACACAGATACAGGTGAAATTACGGAATATTCAGTCACAGTCATTAATTGGTGAATCTAACTTATGAATTATGACTGAATAGATCTTAATTACTGCTGTGTGTATTTAATGGTCTATTTTAATTAATGGGAGCTGTGGTGGTGTAGGGGCTAGATGCTCACCTGTAGATCCAAAAACGGTGAGTTCAGGTCTTGACAAAGCCAGACTTTTTTCAAAAATAACCTTGGCTCGCAGGTCAACCCAACCTTAAATGTGTACCACGTACAGTGATGGGAAGTAAAGGTGGTCAAGATGATATTGACCACATCACCCACTGTCTCTAAAATATAGTTTTTAGCCGTAAATGCCTAATATGCCTGCAGGCATAGAAAAAAGTACAATTTTACTTTATTGTAATAACTGGAGAAGGTAACACTATAACTGCAGTGTTATGTTTCAGGTTTCCAAAGCCTACTCTAAAACCTGGTCATACAGAGAAGATGCCCTGACTTCTGTTTATCGCCAGATGCAAGAAATGCCTTCAGCTAACAAAGAGGAATCTAAATCTGTCTTGAGGGCAGCCATATTTTTGGTTAAACGTGGAATTGATGACAAAGTCTATGCTGTTAGTAATATTTCTTTAATTTGTTTTAAAAATCATTATATGTATTTCAGTAAATGAAATTAGTTATATTTTGGAAAATTAAGACAGTATTAAAGTTATTGGACGACAGAAGCATTAAAGTGTGGTCTGGTCATATTCTGGGAATGAAATTGATCAGCTAACAACAATAAATCTCTATCTATAAACGATGAATCCTTATCTACCAACATCAGTTCCTTATCTATCAATACAGAATCCCACCCTGCATGTAAACTTTTAATGGATAACTTGGAGATAGGGACAAATACTGTGTATATCAAGTTCATTAGCTTTTTAAGTGTTTTAAAGGACTTCATCAACATATCAGGTACCATTTATACTATATGATTTGATAGAAATGTGTGAGAGAAGTGTTGGATAGAAATGAATGAGAGAAGTGTTGGATAGAAATGTGTGAGAGAAGGGTTGGATAGAAATGTGTGAGAGAAATATTGGATAGAAATTTGTAAGAGATGTGTTGGATAGAAATGCGTGAGAGAAGTATTGGATAGAAATGTGTGAAAGAAGTGTTTGATAGATATGTGTGAGAGAAGTGTTTGATTGAAATGTGTGAGAGAAGTCTTTGATAGAAACGTCTGCGAGAAGTGTTGGATAGAAATGTGTAAGAGAAGTGTTAGATAGAAATGTGTGAGAGAAAAATGTGTGAGAGAAGTGTTAGATAGAAATGTGTGAGAGAAATGTTTGATAGAAATGTATGAGATAAGTGTTAGATAGAAGTGTGTGAGAAAAGTGTTGGATAAAAATGTATGAGAGATGTGTTTTAGTAAAAATGTATGAGAGAAGTATTGGATAGAAATGTTGCAATGAGTTGGGGTTGTAATACCTCGTTGTCTAGTGGGTGTTTATGAGCGTGTCATGAATGTTCTTATCACACACTCTACATTACATAACTGGTACAAGCCGACACAGACTTAGCCGTACCAAACGTAAGTTTATTGGCATGTTATGACTTACATCTGAGTTCTGTCATTGTCCTAATACACAGCTCTCGCACACCACTTCACGCAGCTTTCAACTCGCAGGTTCCTCATGCATTCACTGACCAGACTCGGCTCCGATATATCAGGTTGATCTTCTTGCCATTACACAGACTGGCCTGGTTGATCTTGACTTCACACTTTGTCGTCAGGGTCTCCTTTCGCAACAATCAATCTCACGTTGACATTCTTACGCTCAGTTTCCCATCCTCTCACTCCAACAAGTCAACACAAACCAACTTGATCAGAATCAAGTCTGACTTATACCACGGGTTAGTTTCACATGGCAACACGTGGTGGTCCTTTACTTCCACGTGGCGATCTTTGGTCGCGTCATTGTGATACACGTAATAACTCGTGGTTGTCACCTATCTCAAGATCCTCGTTTAATCCCAGTATCTGGAATATCTCGGTGTTTTGGGTTATCCATGGGCCTACCCCCCAACCTTCCTAATGTGGGTGAAAATATCCCCCATTACAAATGTGTGAGAGAAATATTGGACAGAAATGTTTAAGAGAAATGTTTGATAGAAATGTATAAGAGAAGTAATGGATAGAAATGTGTGAGAGAAGTGTTGGATAGAAATGTATGAGAGAAGGGTTGATAGAAGTGAGTGAGAAAAGTGTTGGATAGAAATGTATGAGAGAAGTGTTAGGTAGAAATGTGTGAGAGAAGTTTTGGATAGAAATGTGTGAGAGAAGTGTTGGATAGAAATGTGTTAAAAAATGTTTGATAGAAATGTGTGAGAGAAGTGTTTAATAGAAATGCGTTATAGAAGTGTTTGATATAAATGTGTGAGAGAAGTATTTGATAGAAATATGTAATAGAAGTGTGTGAGAGAATTGTTTGATAGAAATATGTGAGAGAAGTGTTTGATAGAAATGTATGAGAGATGTGTTTGATAGGAATGTGTGAGAGAAGTGTTGGATAGAAATGTGAGAGAAAAGTGTTTGATAAAAATTTGTGAGAGAAGTGTTGGATTGAAAAGTGTGAGTGAAGTGTTTGATAGAAATGTGTGAGAGAACTGTTGGATAGAATTGTGTGTGAGAAGTGTTGGATAGAAATGCGTGAAAGAAGTGTTTGATAGAAATGTGTGAGAATTATTGGATAGACATATTGGATAGAAATGTGTTGGAAAGTTATTTGATAGGTATGTGTGAGAGAAGTTTTTGACAAAAATGTGTGAGAGTGTTTGATAGATATGCATGAGAGAAGTTTTGACAGAAATGTGTGAAAAAGCTATCTGATAGAAATGTATGACAGAGGTATTTTAACATTAGTGCGAGAGAGGTATTTGATAGATATGTTTAAAAGTAGTATTGACAGAACTGTGTGGGAGAGGTGATAGAATTTGATATAAATGTTTGACAAGACAATTTGGTAGAATATAGGCAGGTATAGCTGTAAAAGGGGGAAGATTTGTCACTTAGAATCTCTTCAAGGTAGCAGAAATTTGGGTACATTTTGTATAGTAGCCAGAGATGATTTTCTGAATATAAAAGTTTGCTGTTTTTTTAGAATGTATATATAATATTTTATTGGATTTTAAAAAGACATGATATTGTACATAGAAACAGTTTATGGAATGTTATGAAGGACTTTGGAATACCAAAGAAGTTAATAACCAAGACCATACTGGAAGACACTTATAATATATCAACATACAAAGGCAGATTGTCAGTCCCTTTTCAAATAGTATCTGGTTTAAAGCAAGATGATGCTCTGTTCCTACTTCTTGTCAACTTCGCATGGAGAAAATTATAAGGAAATTGTAAGAAAAGTGTACTACAGGAGAAACTACAAGAATGCTAGGTTATGCAGATGACATTGCTATCGTTGAAGAAAATTAACTAGGGATGGTAAAAACACTTCTTTCTTCTGCTTCTTCTTTTCCACCTTGTACCTCAGCGAAGTGTCAAGGGGAGATGTAATATTTGTTGATGAGTTCTGTCACGAGCACTATTAATTCATAGTGCTCTTAGTAAAAACACCGACTCTGTTAAAAGAAGCAGCTCACAGAATGGGACTAGTTATCAATCAAGATAAGACAGAATACACTGTAATAATCCTACAGGGAAGGGATTTAAACTTTGGCCACATACAAGTGGATAATATGAAAATCAAACGAATGGAAGTATATAAATACTTGGGTGCAAACTTCACTGCTCCAACCTGCTAGGAGAAGAATTAAAATCTAGAATACAGTCTGGAAATAAAGTATGCTATGCCCTTTAACATCTGCTAAAGTCAAAGTCTCTACCTCGCAACACTAAGATCAAAATATATGAAATGCATATAAGACCTGTCGTTTTATATGGCTCTGAAACTTGGAGAACAACTAAAAGAGTTCAAGCCTTAGTAAACATTTTCGAAAACAGTCTTACAACAAATTTTTGGACCCATCAAAGATGCAAACAGCAGGAAATGGGGAGTGAGAAGCAACAATGAAATTCATAATCTGTTTAAATCACCACTGATCACTGGCATCATGAGAGCTAATAGACTGATATGGCTAGGGCGTATTGAGAGAATGTCAGACAACAGAAAGGTAAAAACTGTGTACACAAGGGAGCTAAATGGTCGTTGACCACGAGGAGGCAGACCAAGAACACTGTGGAAAAGTTAATAGAGAAGGCCATCTAGAGAGATAAATGGAGGCAGGTGATCTGCAGCAATGAACATCAAGTACTTGGAATGCCGAAGAAGAAGAAGATGAAAAGTTTGAAGACAAAATAACCGAAAAGAGTTGTGTACACTGCAAATATTATGTTTTCTCAAGGAGATTGTAGTACACTGACTACACAATCTACTACTGTTTCTACTTACTTACAGGTGTTTAAAGCAGCTTTGGCTCTTCTCAGGATGATTTTAACAGATTTTGTGGCCAGGCACAAGTAAGTGAAAAGTTGAGTCGGATAATGTCTGTATTTTGTGGCCAGGCACAAGAAAGTGAATAGTTGAGTTGGATAATCTCTGTATTTTGTGGCCAGGCACAAGTAAGTGAATAGTTAAGTTGGATAATCTCTGTATTTTGTGGCCAGGCACAAGTAAGTGAATAGTTGAGTCGGATAATGTCTGTATTTGTTTAGTTTGTTTATAACATTTATAACTTTAATGCATATATTTTACCTAGACCTTTATAGGAAGCAAAGAAGGTACCTCTGCACCTAATCAGACATGTCTTTAGAGGTGACTGAAGGTGTAGTTGATTTTGGCGTTGACTGTGTCATTGTATTTTTTTAAAACCTCCACTGCAAAAGGTACAAGCCTTAAAAATTAACTAAAAACAATTAGCCACCCAGGATGGAAATGAAGCTCTGCTCTAAGGAAGGAATTGGATGGGAAGGACAAAGCTGAGCTCTAAAGAATGGCAAAGGGCATGCCTTAGTGTGAGTTGGTTGAGGGCCAGATCTACATTAATGGACACAAGCAGAGTAATAATTTACGTGGAAGCAGTATAGATGTAGCAGATAGCCCTCTACTGTGCCTGCAAACAGATCCTGGTGTTTTTGTGTGTATGTGCTAGCACTTGCAACTTTTGAGTGTATACAACATTAGACATGGACACTATGTATTTCTAAGACATAAATTATTTGTGTCTAGGAGCTATATAGTCAACCCAGCTTTTAATGCTTTTTTCCTTCTCTCCCTTTGGACTATGACATTCATTTAGTGAATGTCATCCCTTCTGCCACATGGCTAGCACTTAAATTAACTGTGCCATAATCTAAAACAGGGGCAGATAAACTAGTAGTGTTGTGCCAAAGTAATATTGCAGAGTCACTCAGCATGCTGCCCTGTGCACCATACCTTATATACAACAAATAATGGAAAAAAAAAATGTTTCTTTACAAGAATTGCACACTTTATAGTTGCTGTCCACGTTTCATCTCCATACAGTGGTACTTCTTCTTCTTCTTTCGTTCGCATGAAATAAATTGTCTATATCTGCAAAGCCGTCTCTTGTATGAATTTCACTGTCTTTACAGTGGTACTGATTTGATGTTACAGCTAAATATTTTAAGTCTAGTACTAGTTTCAATTTTCTTGACTTCCACAGATACCCAGTTCTTTGAAAACTCCTCTTGCCTTTGTAGTCATATTTTAATATCTCTTTCAGGTTCCCCCCCCCCCCCCCCCCCACACCCTTCTCTGTCTTTACCTGCACTACTACATAAATAGGTGTCTGACTTCACATCTTGGCATGGGTTATCACCAGGAGATGCTGGATTATTGTTTGCTGGTTTGCTCTCTTTATCTGTCCCTTGTTGATTTGTAGACATTATTGTTGTGATCTTCCATCAGGTATGTTTAATTTAACCTGCCTCTGATTGAATGAGTAGGATAGGAGAAATGTCATCAGCAAAGTCCAGATCATCAAGCTGTAGTGTAGGAGTCAACACTGAATTCCATTTCTGGTGTTGCAGTCTTCATAATCCAGTCTACTGCCAGTAGAAATAGTCACAAATGTTGTGCTGTGCTGAGGAAGAAAGCAGTTAAGCATTGATAAATCCTCATACTTCCAAATGACCACCCACACAACTCATGTTCAAGGCTAGAGAAAAACATTACTTGATGATGTTGAGTCCCCATGGCAGATGCTGCTGCTGGGATACAAAGTGACAGGTGCTCATACATGTTCATAACTTTGTTGACAGAGTTGGAAAGGCTGATATCTCGTCTGCGGTGGAGACAAGTTTGTCCAATCTCTTCCACAAAGCTGGAGACACTGCTGTCAGAAATAGAGAAGATGCCAAAAGTTTTGCCCTAGAAATGGCCACTTTCCCTGAAGTTAAGGTGAGTTTGGTCTGACTTATTTTTTTGGCTACATTTATAGGATGTCTATTGTAAACACATTCTCTACCATGTCTACTTCCTGTTTGAACAACACGCACAGACACATACATCATCATGTGTCATACTAGTAGGCTAAGGCTGTCATGTTTCGCATCTTATCTTGCGTGATCATTAGAATCACGAATCCGGTGAATGTTTTTTGTCTCCCCTATATGTGTAGCCAAGCCATCTAGGCATTTATTTCTTTGCCTTGCTCATGCTCTCTTTCAATTAGTAGTGCCAGTTGTTACCATGTTCTCAAGTCCATTTCTTCTCATAACATATACAAAATACACTGACTGTCTACTTCTAATTGTTCTCATAAGATACAACTTTCATGTGTCTCAGTGAGAACTGCTTCATTTATTTTTCTACCCCTCCTTGATGTTTGCAGTCTTCTAAAAACAAATGTTTCTGCTGTGAACAAATGTTTTTCAGCTTGTCTGTCTAATGCCCATGTTTCACATCCATATAACAACACAGATTCTATATAGCACTTTAAGACTATTTTTCTCACTGAGGTTGGCTCCTCACTGTGTGTGTGTGTGTGTGTGCATGCATGTGTGCATGTAAGCTAGCTAGCTATTAGTTAATTAGGTAGTTAGTTAGTTAAAATAGTATCTTGTTGTCAGATCTGACAAGGGCATCAGTGTTTGATAACGCTGTTGCTTATTTGTAACCTGGGTGAAGAATAAGTAAAGTAAAGTAAAGATCCCTTTTCACGCCTTTCGGTGCATCGGGCATATGGGCAGAGCGTCCCATATTTTTACAGACCATCAGCACTCGGAGGGTAATGTGGTCAGCATTACGCCGGCTGTCTTTACTTTCCCAGGACAGCCCATCCTGGTACCCATTTTAGGCTGGGTCGACCTGCGACGTCCCATACCACGACAAAATTCCACGCAGCCTGCAGTGGGTTTCGATCGCGGTATGCTGGGGTGAAGAATATTATCATGATAATATACCAGATGTCATAAGAGGCCACCAAGATGGTTTGGCTGTTGCAGACAATTGCTGTTTCTAAAAGCTGCATAATGAGTTTACCATAAGTCAGTCATCTCCCCAAGCAGCGGCATGTGTATATGAATGACTACAGCAAAATCACTGGATGATTCCAGGTGCATTGTTGCTTGTTTAATTCTGCCACACCTGCTTTTTTACCTTTTATATGTTTCTAATCAAATCATTGAATCAGGTTTCATTTCATCACACCATAAAGTAATCATTGTAATAATGTAGGTATTATGCTTTGGGCTTCAACAAATCCCCCCCCCCCCCCCCCCCCCCCCCCCCCCCCCCAAAAAAAAATTTAGTCACAAAATATTTGAAACATAGAAGTGATCTTCTACTGTGACATTTAATATTGCGGGAGTGTGATTTATTTTTACTTGATTTGATACCTATTTGTTTTAGCATCTGAGGCTTCAAAATTATGGTCATGGTTTGCAGATCTGAAATACCTAGCTTGATTGAGCAGAAAGCAATGGCAAAATACTGAGCATACATTTGCCTCGTAAAACCACAAACAGCCAACAAATGCTGGGGATGATTTACAAAGTCCTGTTGAAAAAAAACATGCAACTAACTTTTTTTTATGTAGAGTTCTAATTTCTGTAGTCTTACCCTATGGAATAGAAACAGTGGCAGCAGTGTTTGTCACTGTTTTATCTAGGAATCTGTGTAATTTCACTATCTGTTCTGAAGGCTAGTTATATTTCAGCAAACCCAGACAGTACCTCATGAATTTGTGAAACCTTTCAAGATGACCTTGGCTCCGAGACATGCACAGAGTAGATGTGAGCTCGTTGAGGCCCTGTACCAAAAGTTTGGCCTTAAGAAGTAAGAATTTATGTTCCCTTAAAAGAAAAATTCATAACTTTGAAGATAAATATTTTTATTCCATAACAATATAGTAAGTAATTTTAAAGAAGAATTTAATTTTCATAAACATCTAGTAATTTTTTTTTCTGCATTCATCATATAGTAATTTAAAATGGAGCACAAATATTTGAGTTGATAAGAACCAGCAAAGACTGAAACCCACATGGAGAGAGAAGCCTGGGAAGACCAAAGAAAACCTGAAGTAGAATAAATGTATTGATATTAAAATGTCATAAGGATAATGGTAATCCCATAGCAGATATTGCTCTTAAAGGTATTTTGTTTTACCTTTACATATTCTAGACCATGATACATGAGCCGACGCCTTCGAAAATTCCAGGCCCTGAAACTCGACTGGTGACGTCACTTCCTGAGGCAAACTCAAAATGGATGTTTCAGTGTGTGTTCCGTGTTCGGTTTTATTTTTCTTGTCAAAGTTTTTTATGTGGTTTCATTTTCACGTCGATTCACCTATAAGTTGTATTTCAGGGAGTAGATTTAGTAAGCAATTTCTGCAATTTACGTTGGATTTATCGTCAGTGTGTTGGTTTTCGAGGAACTATGCCTGCTAAATGTTCTGTACCTGAGTGTCGTTCAAATTATGACCTTTCTAGTGGATATGTAAGTTGCTTTAGATTCCCTTTGAATTCTCTTTTAAGAGACAAATGGCTGAAACATATTCCACGGAAAAATTGGACTCCTGGGAAAACCAGTGTAGTATGTGTGAAACATTTTCGTAAGTCAGATATTATTGTGTCTGATAAATATACAGACAAATCAGGAATCGAGCATAAACTCCCAAAAAAGAATCCCGCTTTAAAAAAAGATGCTTATCCAACTATTTTTCCAGATCTTCCATCCTATTTATCGGTGAAAGTACCAGCCTCTCGCAAAACTCCAGAGGAACGTGTGTCACATTTTAATCGTAATTATGATCAAAAAGTAAATGATTGGCTGTCCTAAGATATCATTACAGATTTCCCAGATCTGGAGTCACAGATAGGAATTAACTGAAAGGACACTTTGAAAAAAATTGGAAATACACTTCTGTAGATAGAGCTTTAGCATGTATTATTTTGTATGTCATTACCATACAGTCAGACTGCACCATCCATAGGTGTCAGCATAAAGGTGTTACTTGATATGACTATACAAGTCTTTGTTAAAAAAAAAATAAAAATTAAAGACAACGACCTTAAATGGATTGTAGACAACAATAAACTTGTGAGATGGTCACAGGTTGAAAATCTTATAATTCATTAAATGCCTGGGATTTTAGTAAAATTCAAAGCCAAAATAGCTTCACAGATTACAGTACTTGAAATTGAACCAAGACAAACTGACAGAGCTAGAAAGGATTGTAGTGGTTTAAATGGATGAAATATATGTTAAATCTGCAATTACCTACTCTGGGGGCAAAATATTTGGCAATGCAGACAATGCAAAAGAAGCAGCAATAACAGTGCAGGCTTTCCTCATATCTTCAGTTTTTGGAAGCTACCAGGAAATTATAGAACTTTCACCTGTGAACAGAATGACATCTTAGGATCTACGTTTGAAATTACTCCACTGTATCCACTTTGTACAGGAGTGTGGTTTCACAGTAGTTGCTGTAATTGCAGATAATAGTGCTGTCAATCGCAGAGTTTACAGTGATCTCCTGAAACCAAGCCAAACTTTTATTGAGAACCCAGATTTTGCTAATAAAAAAATATTTTTACTGCATGATTCTGTGCACTTTCTAAAATGCATATGGAGGAACTGGATCAACCAGAAGGACACAAACAGACATTTACTTATCCTTTAATAACTGGACAAATGCTAAACGCCTGTGATACTGATAGAGCTGCAGAAGCTAACTTTTCTCATTTAAAGAAACTGTATTACAGTGAGCAAAAGAATATTGCAAAACTGGCACCTAAACTTTCCCACAAAGCCATCTATCCCTCCAGCATGGACAGACCGAATGTTCCTCTTGCTTTGGCAATTTTTAATGAATACAATGTTGCTGCTCTGCTCTGCAGATTTTATTGAAGCCATCCTTAGATGGTGGCATATTGTTAATGTGAAAAGTAAATTTGTAGGTAAAAAGACACTGAACTCATTCTCAAATCCTGTATTGTCAAATGATGATGAACAAGTGCATTATCTTGAACAGTTTGCTGAATGGCTAAGAAAGTGGGACAAGCTGACTGGCTGTCAAGGCAAACTGACCAAGGAAACACACAGTGCACTGCTGCGTACAGTGACCGCAGTGCTTTCTCTAATCAAATATCTATTTGCAACCACAGAAGCCAGTTTTATACTTCTTGGAAAGCTGCAGACTGACAACTTAGAAGCTCGGTTTGGTGAATATCGGCAGTTGTCAGGAGCAAACTACCTAGAATCTGTGCAGCAAGTTTTAGAAGCAGAAAAGAAATTTAAAGTTTACTCACTGTTAAGTATGTCCTCATCAACTTATGGAGATTTTCCTATCTGTGACCTCTCAGAGTTTCTTAGCAGCAAAGAAGATGAAACTGGGGATGACATAATGACTGATGCTGTTCAGCTGGACGTGAGCAAGGTGTTTTTTTTTTCAAATAAACCCAAATGACTGTGAATTATTGGTTTCGGAAGGTTCAGAGGAGTCACTGGTGTATATTGCTGGATTTGTCTCAAGTAAGCTGAACAAAAAAATTAGGTGTGCTGTCTGCAAGACTTTATTGCAGATGGACAGGTCATTATCATATGATGTTGATTCGGGTGCAATGTTCACAGACTATTTACAGCTGTTTGACCGTGGAGGTTTGAAATACCCTTCACAATTTTTTATATTATTAAACTTTGTAACATATGCAGCTATGCAGAAGCTTATATCAACTGAGTTGGAAACACAATTTCTAGCCTGCAAACATCACAAAAAAATTGCTTATGGATATTGTTTCATGCAGTTTACACACATATTTCAAGGATGAAATAGGTGGTGTCTGTGCTGAGGGTTGTTCTAAAATAAAAATTGCTTCCAAAGCGCTGCCATCTCTGGCAAATGTTTTTATGAATAACTACAGAAAAATAAAAATCGACGCATCCTTGCTAGATAAATCATCTAAGAAAAGAAAACTGGCTAAATTCACCCAGTAATGGATTTCATGGATTATGTAACTACAATTTGGACAGCTATATGGTAAGCAGTTTCTGTTGTGCTTTCTGTTTCTATATCATATTGTGAATATGTGAGTAGTTTCTGTTGTGCTTTCTGTTTCTATGTCATATTGTGAATATGTAAGTAGTTTCTGTTCTGCTTTGTTTCTATGTCTTATTGTCAATACCTATATCCAGGGCTGTTTAACTAAGTCAATTAAAGTTTACTCAGATGCCAACATTGTGAAATTAGGGATCGTTATGGGCCAGCAGTCCGAGTCCCAGCTTAGAAAAACCATTATTTCATTGCAACCAGCAGTGATCCGCGGGCCACTCGCTAGGCCTCAGCGAGCCAAATTTGGTCCGCGGGCTGAATGTTGAATAGCCATGAGCTTACTGCTATACCTTTTGTGGGCTAGTACTCAGGGGACGGCCGGGAACAAAACAAAAAAAAACAGGTACTGTCTGAGTGAAAAAGTAACATAACATTAGCCAGCGGCGGTGACGTCACGTCCTGCTGATGACGTCAGTAGCTAGGCCTGTGTACTAAAGTTTGGCCATGCATGAGCTGAGGTGTGAGTTGTTTGTCCTTTACATATTCTAGACCATAATACATGAGCTGAGGTGTGAGTTGTTTGTCCTTTACATATTCTAGACCATAATACATGAGCTGAGGTGTGAATTGTTTGTCCTTTACATTTTCTAGACCATAATACATGAGCTGAGGTGTGAGTTGTTTGTCCTTTACATATTCTAGACCATAATACATGAGCTGAGGTGTGAGTTGTTTGTCCTTTACATATTCTAGACCATAATACATGAGCTGAGGTGTGAGTTGTTTGTCCTTTACATATTCTAGACCATGATACATGAGGTGAGGTGTGAGTTGCTTGTCCTTTACATATTCTAGACCATAATACATGAGCTGAGGTGTGAGTTGTTTGTCCTTTACATATTCTAGACCATAATACATGAGCTGAGGTGTGAGTTGTTTGTCCTTTACATATTCTAGACCATAATACATGAGCTGAGGTGTGAATTGTTTGTCCTTTACATTTTCTAGACCATAATACATGAGCTGAGGTGTGAATTGTTTGTCCTTTACATTTTCTAGACCATAATACATGAGCTGAGGTGTGAATTGTTTGTCCTTTACATTTTCTAGACCATAATACATGAGCTGAGGTGTGAATTGTTTGTCCTTTACATTTTCTAGACCATAATACATGAGCTGAGGTGTGAGTTGTTTGTCCTTTACATATTCTAGACCATAATACATGAGCTGAGGTGTGAATTGTTTTTTTTTTTTACATTTTCTAGACCATAATACATGAGCTGAGGTGTGAATTGTTTGTCCTTTACATTTTCTAGACCATAATACATGAGCTGAGGTGTGAATTGTTTGTCCTTTACATTTTCTAGACCATAATACATGAGCTGAGGTGTGAGTTGTTTGTCCTTTACATTTTCTAGACCATGATACATGAGCTGAGGTGTGAATTGTTTAGCTTTCACATATTCTGGGCCATGATATGTGAGATAGGGTGCAGATTGTTTGGCCTTTACAGAAAATTACAGTGTATAGCACATAGGATAAATCTAGGAATATTTCAGAGGTGGTGAGTCTAGGTATATTACAGTGTATAGAACATGTGATAATTCTTTGAAAATCACAGTGTATAGCACAGAGGGTAAATTTAGGAATAATACAGTATCATAGCAGAGGTGATAAATATAATATTACTACTAGGGCTGTAGCGAATATTAGCTTCGTATTTGCTTGGGGGCCGAATAGTGGACTTGCTGACTATTCGGTATTCGGCCGAATAGTTGCGGTCGGGTCGAATACGAATAGTAGTTACCTTACAGCTGCTTCTGCATACACGGCCCTAATACTGACAACATGGAACGATTGGTTTTGTTGAAAGCTAATGTAGCTTTCATACATTAACTAAGCTGTCAGTGACAATTTCCAAGTTTAGTACTTGTTATAATACTTAGGATTCTTACATTCCTAGTTATTAGTTACCACAGACTAACTGAAGGATGCAAAACATAAATGTTTACTATTCTGTACGAATACTAACTAGACATGGAAAGAATATAAACTCTGGTCACATCCAAGTCGATAATATGAAAATCAAACGGACGGAAACATATAAGTACTTGGGTGCAGACTTCAACTGCTCCAACATGCTGAGAGAGGAAATACAATCTAGAATACAATATAGAAATAAAGTATACTATGCTCTTCAACACCTGCTAAAGTCAAAGTGTCTGTCTCGCAACTCCAAGATCAAAATATATAAAACGTTCATAAGACCAGTCGTTTTATATGGCTCTGAAACTTGAAGCAGAAATAAAAAAGATGAGGCCTTATTACAGGTTTTCGAAAAGAGAGTCTTACGACAAATCTTCGGACCCATCAAAGATGCTAAGAGCAGAAAATGGAGAGTGAGAAGCAACAACGTAACACATAATCTGTTTAAATCACCATTGATCACTGGCATCATGAGAGCTAACAGACTAAAATGGTTGGGGTATATTGAAAGAATGTCAGATAACAGAGAAGTAAAAACTGTATACACCTAAGAGAGGAATGGGTGTAGATCACGAGGCAGACAAAAAACAAAAGAAGAAGTTCGAGAGATAATGTCCAGCCAGACCTGCAAACAACTGGTGTCACAAATTGTGAAGAGAAGGCCAGCCAGAGAGATGAATGGAGACGAGTGATATCTGCAGCAGTAAACCTCAAGGGCTCAGAATGCTAAAGAAGATGATGACTATTCTGTGCTACTTTATGAGAAGTAAAAGTTCAGCGTACATTTGACATTACGAATGTGTTTTTTTTTTTCTTTTTTTAGACACAATACAATACTTTTAGACACAATGTGGTTTTACAGAAGAATGCTTAGTATACCTTGGACAGCCAAAAAGAGCAACCAGGAGTTTTTTAAAGAGGCGGGAGCCCGAAGACAACTTATCACAGACATTAGAAGGAGACAGTCATAATTTTTTTGGCCATGTTATGTGAAGAAGGAAAATAGAACATTTTGTGACCACTGGAAAGATATGTGGAAGGAGGGATAGAGGAAGACAACGAGAGAAGATGCTTGACAGTCTTGTTGCATGCCATGGAGGTGTGTCGGCACATGAACTGATACATGCTGCAGGAGATTGCAGATTGTGGAGAGGCATGCCGCCCATGCCAGTCGGCAAGGCATCTTATGATGATGATAACACTATTTGTATTTGTATTCGGCCAAATAGTTGGTCCCGTTATTCGTATTCGGCCGAATGGTGAAAATCACTATTTGGTACAGCCCTAATTACCACGTTATAGAGCACAAATTAAATTGATTGGTAATTTCAAAGACACATACAGATGAAAAAGACAGCGCACACAAAAAAAACATTGATGGACAGTAACTATAGAAGGCTGGTGTATTTTATGTTGTGACGCTTGTGTCACTATGTGACAGCATTGTTATTTGTTCCTTATGGTGTCACTTGCAGCGGCCTCACTTTGGACAATGTGATGACCTTCAATATCCAGGCTTTACAGCACAATGCTGGAGAGGTGAGGGATGTAGCTGAGAGGCTTATCAAACAGATGTACCGAGATCATGGAGCACCAGTTAAAGACTACCTCCCTCCAGGTATTTATTGTAATTCTTCTCCTTCTTCTGCCTTCCAAACCCTTGAGGTTCATTAATGCAAACATCACTTAGTGCATTCATCTTTGTGATTGCCCTTCTCATTCCAGTTGGTAACTCGAAGTATTTGTAGGCCTACCTGAATATTACCTCTCCTCCATTTTCTTGGTTTGCCTTGATGAACAGTTTTTTTCTTCAATTATCTGCTGCTTTCTCTGTTTGTCCTAACTATTGCCGTCTATTATCATTCATAAAGGTATTTGTTGAAAACGTTTATGTGGATAACATCGTCAGATCTGAGAGATGAGTTATCCCTCCTATCACATTTTGCCATCTTTTATTGTTTTATATTAATTTTTTTTCATAGGTTAGTTTGGAAGGAATAACTATCTGTTTTTAAAACATACAATTCTGTGACGTGATAGACATCTTACCTGCAATATCCTTCTGTATTCTCGTATGGGTTTAGATTTTTCAGTATGGGTGGTTAAGTGGTAATAGTATACAAACCAGTAGAAGCCTAGAGGAACCCAGTATTGTAAACACCTCCAGATACTATATTCATTGCTAAGTTAAGCAAAGCCCTATCTTTTCCATGATCGTTAACCATCATTGTTTATTATGTCCCAACTCTGGTTGGACCACACTTGTTGCTTTGTTGACTTCAAGAACCCTTTTCTGTCAGATATCCCACCATCCCACATACAGACACACTCACACACACAGACACACACACAGAAGCACACAAACAGACACACACAAACTCAGGCACACAGAAACACTCTCTTTCTCTCTCTGTTTGTGGAACAGCATGTATGTCACTATAAGTAGACAGACGGTTTTGCTGCATTGACTTTTGTGTGTCACTTATAAGTAGGCAGACGGCTTGGCCACATAGACCTCTGTGAGTCACTATAAGTAGGCAGACAGTTTGGCTACAAAGACCTCTGTGTGTCACCATAACTATACAATTAACCCTTTCGCTGCTATGGACGTCTTTTCCCGATTTCCCGTACGCTGCTACGCCCGTCTTTGGACGTTATTTTTTTTCTTGACCCCCAGTGCTATGGACGTCCTAAGCCGTTTTTGGACTTTTCCTACAGATTTCTGTTACCTCGTATTTTATTGGCTGAAGGGCAATATACATTAGCTATATTTAGATTAAACTGACCCATTTACATATGATTAAAAGCACTGGCACGTACTTTTAGGTGTGTTTACTGCATTCTGCGTTATCCCGTTGCTTTGTTTACCGTGACAGCGTGGTCGGTGATCTGTGTATTTTGTGCCCTGATATATATTTGTGCTTTTGTATTTTTCTACACTTAGTACAAAATGGCAAGAAAACTTGTTAAAGTTGATGAAGAATTTATGGAGTTTCTGTCAAGAAGTGATAGCGAAGATGACTTTGAAATGTTTACTTCTGACAGTGAACAAAAGGATTCGACTAGGCCATCAATATCGACTGCTGAAACCGTCGTGTCCAAAAAAAGCTGTTTGCCTGTCCGACGTCCTCAATGTCGGAATCAGAGAGCAGCGACAATGAAGCACCATCAAAACGGCAATAAATTGATCAGTTGTCTTTATGAACCGTTGATTTGAAACCAGTAGTGCATAATTTTGATGACTCCAGCTCTAACTGTTTTTCTGCTACTGAAAATTCAAACAGTTCAGTCACTAAAAATTCTCGTCTTTCCCGATGGACAGACACAGATTCGGACGAACTTTTTTTGTGTTTTTTTTGCTGTCTGTCTGCTAATGCTTAGAACAAAGAAACTCAAAATAGAGTACTTGAGCAAAGACTGGTTGCTAAAAACTCCAGTGAAATAATGTCGACAGACATATTTTTACTATTGTTGAGAATCTCAAACATTTCTCAGACAACAGTGCTCATGCAGGCGGCGATAGACTACAAGCTTAGGCACGCTATTGATAGTCTGCGTACATCAGTCATTATTATCATTCACACAGCAAAATACGTCAAGCGGTAGTATAGTGTAGTTGGTATCACGTTCGCCTTAGAATCAGAGGGTCGTGTGTTCAACCCCCGAAGTCGTGTTTTTATTTTATTTTTTTTAATTATTGTAAATTTTCCTTTCAGTTCCTGCTACTTTTTATCAACGGACGACTCAAGTATTATTATTAAAATTTTTTTTATTATTTTGGTATTTAATAACATGGTGACTACAAATAACTATGATTAAAGTGGCAGCCGTGGTAGGTTCGTCAATCAAATTTTGGGATACGGACAGGGAACAGTTCTTCCCATTAATCCCCCCCCCCCCCCAGAAGGATGATAGCTCCGTTAGTCAAGTTTGTGGGCCACCATCGTGCCTCTGACTTGTCACCACTCGGACCAAACACACAACTCCCCAGGGTACATTTTTTTGGGTGTACAAAATATAGCCCTCACCGCCGACGCATCTCTTGCGTTTGGAGGATAGAAAAGTATTGTGCACAGCAGAGACTTTTTTTTCACATTGCTTAGCACAGGGAGGACAACTATTTCCGGGAACGTAGCAGCGAAAGGGTTTTAATAGCCAAAATTGTCTACTGTATTGACAGAAATATTACATGATGTTGAATAATTCAGTATTCACATTGCATATGAAAGTGTAATGTGATGTGAAATTAATGGAAACAAAAAATTGTATACAACTTATTTGTTTTAATCCAAGATGATGAAAAGACAAGAAAGAATACACTGTGGAGACAATTGTTTGAATACTTTGATGAAGTTGATGGCAAGCCATCCAAAACAGAGTTGAAGGTACACCTGCCACTAATTGGATGTATTTCTCTAATGTATGTATCTGTTAAACCTCTTACAACTCAAGCTTAGGAGAAAGACTTCAAATGAAAATTAGTGGGTTTTTTTTTGTTTTGTTGAGATATTGCTGTAACACATTCTATCCTAAGAAGTTATTACCCTTAGCCAAGGTCTGAGCCTGAGGATTGGGGCAGAGAGGGTTAATATAACAAAAGTAATTAAGAAATGTAAATAATGTCAGCAGAAATGAATCAGCCCATTCCCTGTCTGGGTTACAGTTTTGGTGTTTACAAAAAAATTTAAAACCAAAAAAAAGAGTAGACCCATTGGCTCCCTATTGGGAATGTTGTAAAATGTGAGTAATTAGAGATTTGTTTCTCCGAAGCACATCTGCCTGAGAGGTGAGGAACCAAACAGTCTGCTTACAAATATGCAGATCTGTAAAACTGATCTGCATGCAAAATTTAAGTTCTGGAGCAAGACTAGTCCAGAAGTGGATGAGCAACTAGCACACGGGGCCATAGTTTACAACCAGTGAACACAAAGAAAGGCAATAAGAACCAATTCACATTAACTTTCTTAACAATGAACGAGTTAATGGAATAAGGGATGAGCCATACAAACAAAGATGTCTGTGACAACAAACAAAAATGTCTTGTATACTTCAAGCTTAAATTGTTTGTGAATCTTACAGTGACAGTCAAAAACAAACATGTTCTTAATGCTAGCAGTTATATGTGTAGTATATCCAGGGCTTTTTTTTTCTAGTAAAATGGTGCCAGTACTCACCTCACAGTGTGTGAAAAAAAGTTTTGGTACTCACCACACAGTGTGTGAAAAAAAAGTTTTGGTACTCACCACACAGTGTGTGAAAAAAAAGTTTTGGTACTCACCACACAGTGTGTGAAAAAAAAAGGTTTTGGTACTCACCACAAAGTGTGTATTACAGTAGCACCGAAAAAAGAAAATTATACCTTAAGAAAGGTAACACCAGAAAAAAAAAACCTGAGTATATCTGGTCAGTTTATATTTTCTTTAGAAGTCTTGCAGGTACTGAAGAATAATGATGTTATTGCACGTACTGAAGAATAATGATGTTATTGCAGGTACTGAAGAATAATGATGTTATTGCAGGTACTGAAGAATAATGATGTTATTGCAGGTACTGAAGAATAATGATGTTATTGCAGGTACTGAAGAATAATGATGTTATTGCAGGTACTGAAGAATAATGATGTTATTGCAGGTACTGAAGAATAATGATGTTATTGCAGGTACTGAAGAATAATGATTTTATTGCAGGTACTGAAGAATAATGATTTTATTGCAGGTACTGAAGAATAATGATGTTATTGCAGGTACTGAAGAATAATGATGTTATTGCAGGTACTGAAGAATAATGATGGTTCAGACTTGTATAAGGACTAATTGTTGAAAGTAATCAAAGAGACTGAAATGATGAGATATGAGGTTTTAAAAAAAAAGGAGGCAAAAGATTTTGAGATGATGACAGATATTAAAATAAACATATAATATAAACTGAGAGGATAAATAGAGATGTTAAAATAAAGCCAAATTTGATATTTTTACTTTAGAAACTCCAGTGTAGGATATCTGATTGTCAAGTGGAAATGGGTTTAAAGTGTCAGTTTGTTAAAGCTTGTACTGTTTCAGCCAGCAGTTTAAGTGGCTAACCAGCAATGCTTGGAAAACCTTGGTTGAAGATGTTTTTCCCCCTCTAGTTTACAAACATACACTGAATCAGTAAAAGCATTGCGGCTCCTGCACTCACTTGTTATCCTGATATATCTTGGTTCAAATCTCCTTTGCAATAGGAGTATTTCTGATATCATGGCTCCATGGTCAACCCAGTCTGAAAATGAGTATTAGAAATTTGTTCTGGAAGTTAAGATGGCTGACATAATGCTGACCACATCAAACTTGAATGCACATTGGTCAAGAAAATAAGCGTGGCACCCGAAAATGCTGAGCATGTGTTCCAACACTGTCAACTGTATGCTAACAACAGAGATGCAATCTTGCCTGTTCCAACCACAATGAAGACAAAACTGTTTGGTACACAAGAGGATATGGATTGCACGATAGCTTTCATAAAGGCTACCGGCCTCCTGATATAAGTTTTCTGACAGAAGGATCAAAGAAGAAGAAGTAAAATGTGTGATATGTTTTGCCTATGTGTGGGTTTTTTATTTTTTACATATCCCAGAATAAAGATATTTTTTTTAAAATTTGTGTTGCTTAGTGTGACTTTGAATAAAAAATCTTGTTTATTAGATGCCTGCTTAACTGAAGTAATTGTTCAACAGAAATTGAAAGCTGGGGAGGAACTAAAGAAGCAAGCCGAAATTGAAGATCTACAGAAACAGCTTCAGCAACTACGAGAAATCAATGCAGGGAAAGCTGTAGGGCTCATTGTGTTTTTGAAACATAAGTTAAATCATGTGTCGATCTTTACTGTATAAGGGATTGTGCAGGGTTCAGTTTATGATTTAATGAGGCTAACATATATACATATAGAAATATTTGTTAAGTCTTGTCGTGGCCACTAACTCATGTGGGGATAGATATACTTGTTAACTCTTATCCTGGTCACTAACACATGTGGGGATAGATATTCTTGTTAACTCTGATCCTGGTTAGTTTAGCACTCAGGGTTCTCACAGAGTGCTGAGCAAATAGTCAGAGAAAAAATGGCCGAACAATGAGCCATTTCACACACGCTATTTACTATTTACTTTGTACAGACTGTAACTGTTATGATTTCAATGTAGCTTAGCCATAGTATAGTGCAATCTCTTTTTTTAGAGCATGTTTCTTCTCTTACACCATAAATACAGTAGCAATGGGACATTGTCTGGGATGTACGGGATATACGATATACATACTATAACATTAACCCAAGCTACACAACCAGCAAAAGACAAGAAACTACATCTGACTTCTCTGTAATGCTTTATGGCGTAAGCAGTAGGTCAGAAGATGAAGAAGAAGTCAGACGATTAAATAACAATCCTTGATCTAGAGAAAAATGTAAAAAAATTCATTATTTAACATAAATATGGCATTGATACTTTAGCGGAGGGAAAGGCATAGAGACATAGTGTCTGCCTCCAGTCAGAGATTAACGTGTTTTATGTCTTGTTGTCAGTAGTTATTTTCACTGAGAAAGGATGAAGGTCTTTTTTGGCAAAGTGGTCAAACCATTTACTTTACCATTGGGAATAATAAAAAAAGAAGAGATGACCTAACGTACTATTTCCTAACTAAAGTTTAAAATTGAACAACCTACCTAAACACACTATACATAGCATATGCGGTACTGGTACACTCAGTGGCTTCCTCCCAGTGCTGCAGTGTTTATGCACTGAATTGAGGGCCCTCCTGTTTTTATTTTAAGTGAAAGATACAGTAGTCAAGTTGTGTATCATTTACAGGTTGTTGCAGTATCAACTCAAGCATTTTTTGGCTGTTGTGGTTTTTCTAGGCAAATTTTACGTTCAGTAGTTTTCCATTGTTGGCTCTGTGGCTAAGTCGATGCGAACGCTTTGTAGTGCCGAGATGCCAGGTTCGGTCCCAGCTGCGGGCCATGCACCTTGCATTGGTTTCCACTGTGGTATCAAGAAAGCCGACCGTCCAGAAAGAAATGGCAAACTACTGGATGTAAATTTGTCTAGAAAAACCACAAAACAGCCAGGGGCTGTTGGGGTTGGTTCTGCAACGTCCTGTAAAGGCTACGCAACTAACCTACTTTTCCATTGCCGCTGAATGGTGGGCTCTCGATACCACTGTCAAAACAAACTCAAGGCCAAATCGTCTGCAGCTAGGATCAAACCCTGCGCACTGACGTTACGAAACGCACGCATTCACAGCGCCTAAGCCACTATAGCCAACATACAAGAGTACTGACAGAAAATTAACAAGAAGGACACAAATTTAGTTAAATTACATATTGAACTGATGTTAGTATTTTCTTTAAAATCTTTGGGTTGTTATCCTATGATTAGGTTGTTTGTTTTTTTTTTACTTTTTTTTTCCCTAATGTATCTTGAACTCTAATCAACTCAAAAATATCTGACAGCCTACAGACACGTCTGCTTCAAAGCTTGATACTGCCAGGAGGTCCACACAAGCTGCTGCCAAGGTAAGGACCTGGTTTAATTATTTAGAAACAGAATAAAATCATTGCTGCTTGTGTCAGATATTAATTTGTTTTTGTTAAAAGTTAGGGACATTTGTTTAAAGGGTACAAGAATTGTTAATCTAACGAACACACTGAGAATGGTTTATTGACAGATAAGAACCAAACCTCCGTATTCGGTTGTCAACACGGTATTGAAAAGATTGAAGACAAGCATGCCAGAGGGAAAGATGGAAGACAAGCATGCCAGAGGGAAAGATTGAAGACAAGCATGCCAGAGGGAAAGATTGAAGACAAGAATACCAGAGGGAAAGATTGAAGACAAGAATACCAGAGGGAAAGATTGAAGACAAGCATGCCAGAGGGAAAGATGGAAGACAAGCATGCCAGAGGGAAAGATTGAAGACAAGCATGCCAGAGGGAAAGATGGAAGACAAGCATGCCAGAGGGAAAGATTGAAGACAAGCATGCCAGGGGAAAGATGGAAGATAAGCATGCCAGAGGGAAAGATTGAAGACAAGCATGCCAGAGGGAAAGATTGAAGACAAGCATGCCAGAGGGAAAGATTAAAGACAAGCATGCCAGAGGGAAAGATTGAAGACAAGCATGCCAGAGGGAAAGATTGAAGACCAGCATGCCAGAGGGAAAGATTGAAGACAAGCATGCCAGAGGCAAAGATTGAAGACAAGCATGCCAGAGGGAAAGATTGAAGACCAGCATGCCAGAGGGAAAGATTGAAGACAAGCATGCCAGAGGGAAAGATTGAAGACAAGCATGCCAGAGGGAAAGATTGAAGACCAGCATGCCAGAGGGAAAGATTGAAGACAAGCATGCCAGAGGGAAAGATGGAAGACAAGCATGCCAGAGGGAAAGATGGAAGACAAGCATGCCAGAGGGAAAGATTGAAGACAAGCATGCCAGAGGGAAAGATGGAAGTCAAGCATGCCAGAGGGAAAGATTGAAGACCAGCATGCCAGAGGGAAAGATTGAAGACAAGCATGCCAGAGGGAAAGATTGAAGACCAGCATGCCAGAGGGAAAGATGGAAGACAAGCATGCCAGAGGGAAAGATTGAAGACCAGCATGCCAGAGGGAAAGATTGAAGACCAGCATGCCAGAGGGAAAGATGGAAGACAAGCATGCCAGAGGGAAAGATTGAAGACCAGCATGCCAGAGGGAAAGATTGAAGACCAGCATGCCAGAGGGAAAGATGGAAGACAAGCATGCCAGAGGGAAAGATGAAAGACACAGGACAGAGGGAAACGTGGAAGACACACAAGAACAGATGAAGAGAACAAACGAACAAACAAACAAATTTATTTTCAAAGGGTCACAAATTGAGCACGCAGGCTGGTCTTACATTCGGCCCTTTCAAACACCCATCTTTCACACTGCAGCTGTATTTTTATCAATAAGCATGTTATATTCATGCCAGAGGGAAAGATTGAAGACAAGCATGCCAGAGGGAAAGATGGAAGACAAGCATGCCAGAGGGAAAGATTGAAGACAAGCATGCCAGAGGGAAAGATTGAAGACAAGCATGCCAGAGGGTAAGAGGAAGACACAGGACAGAGAGAAACATGGACGACACAAGACAGAGGGAAACACGGAAGACACACAGAACAGAGTGAAAGATAGAAGATGATCATGCTAGAGAGAAACAATCCTTTCAATGGATGGAAAACTCTGCATCTTGGTAAGAGTCACAAATTCTGGATATTCATTGCAGCTAGCCTTACTTGGCCTGATCTGAGTAATCTTTCACTTACTTCTAGTGTTGGCAACTGAAATATTCTAGATGCTAGCATCTTAAAACTAGATTTTTCTCCGCATTGTTGGAAATGTTTCAAATTGCACTTTCTCTGATAAAATTCATAGAAAAAAGCTGACATGAAACCGAAGAGCAAGGCAAAAAATGCTAAAGATGATGATGACCTGTCAGTGTTTACTGTAGACAAGTAAGTACAATTTTTCTCTATGTCCCTTGTGATATTTTGGAAGCTATGCACACTTTGTTTTGTCTATAATAATTTCTTCATGTCAAATCAGTTAAATTCTTCATGTCATAAATTATCTATTTCATTAATGTTTATTTTCAAGAGTGTATCGTATTGTGTACACATTTCATGTGACTGTTCATTCTGTCTGAATCTTTGATCGTTCTGTCAGAAAACTTATATCAGGAGGCTGGTAACCTTTATGAAAGCTATTGAGCAGTCCAGATCTCCTGTGTATCATCATTATCAACTACCTTGCCAACTGGCGTGGGCGACCATGCCTCTCCACAATCTGCGGTCTGTGACTGAGAGTATCAGTTCGTGTGTTGACACCCCTCCATGCCACCACAAAAGACTGTCAAGAATATTTTCACTCTGTCTTCCTCTGTCTCTTTTTCCACATATCTTTCCAATGGTCGCAACCTTTTCCATTTTCTCTCTTCTCATAACATAACCAAACAATGATGACTGTCTCTTTCTGATGTTTGTGATAAGTTGTCTTCGAGCATTCACCTCTTTCAAAACAGCCAAGTTGTTAACGTTAAAAAAAAACTAAATATCAGTTATTACATTAAACAATTCTACCCCACATGTTACATTAAGCAATTATATCCCAGTTGCTACATATAAAAAAAAAATCATATGCAAGTTGTTACATTAAAAAACTTATCTCAGTTGTTACATTAAACAGTTTTATCCCATTTATTACAGTAAAAAATTCTGTCTCAGTTTTTACATTAAACTATTATATTGTAGTTGTTACGTTAAACATTTATATTTGAGTAGTTACAGTAAACAACCAAGGAGAACAACCAAGGCAATTACTAATAAATTACAGACATTCATTAACTGATGCCTGCGCAGAATAGAGGGAATAAAATGGTATGATAGAATAACTAATGTAGAACTTTGGGAGAGAACTAAACAGGCTCCAGTGGATCAGGAGGTGAGGAAAAGACGCTGGCGTTGGATAGGGCACACACTGAGAAAACAGGTGAACAGCATAACTAGAATGTCTTTGCATTGGAACCCACAGGGGCATAGGAATAAAGGAAGGCCAAAAAACACATGGAGAAGAGAGCCGGAGAATGAGGTTAGAAAGATTGGGAGGACATGGGGAGAGCTCCATGCAATGGCGAAGGATAGAACGACTTGGCGTGAGTTGGTTGAGGGCCTGTGCTCCATTGGGGGATAGAAAGGCAGAAGAAGAAAGAAGAAGTTAAGTAAACAGTAAATCGCTTACGGGTTACTACATGAAATTTTTTTTTTTTTTTTAAATTTGCAATGTTAGACCGATTATTTTTATAATGATCGTTTGTAGGATGTATGTTAATACATTTTTACACCTAAAGTTTTTTTTAAAAACATCGTTGACATGGCAACAGCCGCCATCTTGATAAAAAAACAACATATACTTAGACTGCTCAAATTGCAAAAACTAACATAGATATTGAGAAATAGATGATTGATTCGTGAACTTTAAACCTATGTTTAGGGTCAGGTCTAGTTTATTTACTTTAAAATGTTTCTAAATAGTTTTCTACGAACATTAAAATTTAGGAATGTTGAAAAGGTACAAAAATGTAGACTCGTAGGATAATAATTAAATTTAAAAAAAAAAGACTTAATAAACTGTACTTTGAAGTAGACCTGACCATATAATATTGTTTAAGTAGTATCCACACCAAATTTCACGTCTCTAGTCTTTAAATTAGCTGAGATTTTAGGAGATCCCACACACAAAACACAGAAAAATATAATTTAGAGAAAAGTGACTTTTAAAGTCACATAAAATATAATGAATAAAGAATGAACCTGTTCTTACCTAGTCTTTTGAATTCTGCAACATATCCACAGAAAACGTCATATAAATTTAACAATTAAATGCACTAGCAACTAGGGCTGTACCGAATATTCGCTTCGTATTTGCTTCGGGGCCGAATAGCGGACCTAATAACTATTCGGTATTCGGCCGAATAGTTGCGGTCGGGCCGAATACGAATAGTGGTTACCTTACACCCATTCCTGGACTGGTAGAAATTAAACATATCAAGATTTCCCACCTTGGTTTATACTGTCCAGCGTTCACCACCTATTAGTGTACCAAGTGAACGTCTGTTTAGTACAGCTGGAAATACCTTCAGTGAGACAAGAAGCTGCCTTAATGCTGACAACATGGAACGATTTTTTGTGTGGAAAGCTAATGCCGCTTCATGGATTAATTAAGCTGTCAGTGACAATTTACAAGTTTAGTTACTTGTTATAAAACTAAGATTACTTTCACTCCTATGTATTAGTTACCACAGACTGACTGACTGAAGAATGCAAAACATGAAATGTATTTAAATGTTTACTATTCTGTACTACATTGTGTGAAGTAAAATGTGAGCGTACATTTGACTTATGGATGTTTTCTTTTTAGATCTATTTTATACACGAAAGTGGAGGAATGAGCCTCAGTGTGAATAGTAGGAAGACAGAAGTAATGGTGGTATTAAAGAAAATAATTACTCCTAAAGTAATAAAAGTCACTGGTTTTATTTTGGGACAAGTACGGAAATTTGAGTATCTGAGCACATGGATAACATCAGATGAAAGATGCATTACTGAAATAAGAAACAGAATAGGACAGGCAAAAACTGCATTTTATAAAATGAGGAACATCTTATGCAATATATCTTTGTCATTGAAGGTTAGAAAAAGAATTCTTGCTTGCTACATACATCCAGTGTTAACATATGGCTGTATGTCCTGGACAGTCGGTAGGCAGATGTGGTATTACAGAACAATGCTTAAAATACCCTGGATAGTGAACGAACATCGAACCGAGGCGAGCGGTGCTTACTACAAGAAGACTAGTGAACGAACATCGAACTGGGGCCAACGGTGCTTACTACAAGAAGACTAGTGAACGAACATCGAACTGAGGCGAGCGGTGATCACTACAAGAAGACTAGTGAACGAACATCAAACTGGGGCGAGCGGTGCTCACTACAAGAAGACTGTGAATGAACATCGAACTGGGGAGAGCGGTGCTCACTACAAGAAGACTGGTGAACCAAAATCGAACTGGGGCGTTCAGTGCTCACTGCAAAAAGACTGGTGTACAGGCAATGAATTTGAGCGAGCAGTGCTCACTACAAGAAGACTAGTGAACGAACATCGACCTGGGGCGAGCGGTGTTTACTACAAGAAGGTTGGTAAACCAGCAATGAACTGGGTCGTGCAGTGCTCACTTCAAGAAGACTAGTGAACGAACATCGAACAAAGGCGAGCGGTGCTCAGAGATGTGGTATTACATAACAATGCTTAAAATACCCTGGATAGCCAAAAATAAATAAAAGCAACCAAGAAGTTTTGATAGAGGCGGGAGCCCGAAGACAACTGCTCACAGACATCAGAAGGAGACAGTCATCATTTTTCGGCCATGTTATAAGATGGGGGAAAATGGAACATGTGGTGACCACTGGAAAGATATGTGGAAGGAGGGATAGAGGAAGAGAAGATTCTTGACAGTCTTGTTGCATGGCATGAAGGTGTGTCAGCACACGAACTAATACATGCTGCAGGAGATCGCAGGTTGTGGCGAGGCATAGTCACCCATACCAGTCGGCAAAGCACCTGATGATGATGATTCAATATTCGTATTTGGCCGAATAGTTGGTCCAGCTATTCGTATTCGGCCGAATAGTGAAAATCACTATTCGGTACAGCCCTACTAGCAACATAGGTTTTGCCTTCTGTTACTTCATGCTGGTGTTCTAGCTGGAGTCACCATTTTTTCTGGTTTTTCCTTTTCCACTTCGAAAGACTTAATGTTTGTTTTCTCGAATAATAATACTTTCTCTTCAGCATTCTTGTAGCATACATGTTGTTTGTAAGTCCCCACTCCAGTGCCATTTTGTCAAATACCATTATAATCCCTATAGGACCACAGTTGAAAGAGTGGCAAGGGAAGTTGCTGTCTCCACTGCTGACATAGAAGCAGATGTTGTTTTAGGACAGCGCTGCCAAATCAATGCGTTAAAGCTTTCATTGGCATTCTGAGTGTTCATTTTAGCACAGCGTTGAAGAAGATCTAGGTTGTTGTTGTTGTTATCGATCCATCGGTGCATGAGCTTTCGCCCTTTGGCCCAATGCCATGCAGTGGAATTTGCATGTTTTCACAAGCTGTTCTTTTCCTCTGTACAAGGTGTTCCACCTGTCTGGTCTCGGAGGGAGTAGCGTTCTTCTTGTCTCACTGAGTTTTGGGCACTTAAAGAGATGGTGTTCAACAGTTTCATAGGGGTAGTTACATAGCTGGAACTCTGGGGAGTGTTGTGGCGTATTCTGTTTAGGTTTTCATTGAGTGGAGTATGTTGCGTTCTAAGTCTGAAGATGGTGGCCTGGTACCTTCTTGTTAGATGGTTAATGCTGTCATTAGGATCAGGGCCAGACATATGTCTATAAACCTCTCTTCCAGTGTCTCCTATGGCCCATCTGTTCAACCAAGTCTTTTGTTTGTAGCTTTTATCAGTGTTTTTGCTGTCTGGAGGGTTGTCGCTGTAGGTGGTTGTTCTTGTGTTGCTCCTTTCTTTGCCAATCTGTCAGCTCTGTCATTACCTGGTGTGCCGGAGTGACCTGGAATCCACTGCATAACTATTCTGATGTTGTATGAGCTAATAAGCTGATCAGCGTACAGGATTATCTTGGCTATGTCAGTTCTGCAGCGTTCACTGCCCTCCAGAGCTTGAAGGGCAGACATTGAATCTGTGAAGATGACAATATTTTGAACCTTTGAAGGATAAACATCCATTACAGTCTTTAGGTGGTATACTGCTGTTTCCAGTGCAATTATTTCAGCTTCATAATTTGAACAGAATTCCCCGCATGCATCAAAAATCACTTCAACAGATCCATCGGGATAACCTATGTAGATTCCGTAACCTGCTTTAATGGTAGCTTTAAATGCTGATCCATCAGTATAGACATGTATCCATTCTTGGGGGTAAGAATCAACGGTCTTTAGTGATGAGTTCATAAGAGCGATTGGGTCGGACTGTTTGGTTTCCTCGCCTACCAATTTAGTTTGGACTTCTGGAGCTTTAAAGCGAGCATGTGGTGGTAGGTTTCTTGCAACATTTTGAATTCCTTGACGTCTTTCTGGGAGGTGGTATCTGTCCTGAATTTCATTAACACAGTGTAAAACCGATTTGTGCTTTATTCTTTGTTTGTATTCCCAGTTTTCTACAAGATGTCTATTAGGATGGTTACGATTTTTTTCTAACGCATCTTTCATAAATTTCTAAAGTGGCTTTTTCTCTCCGCAACCCGAGGGGTTCCACATTTGTATGGATTTCACATGCAGCAGTTGGTGTAGACTGCATAGCTCCGCAGATTAATCGGAGGGCATTATTTTGTACTCTGTCAAGAGTCTCTAGGTTTGTTTTGGAGCAAGTTGTAAGCAGTGAGTTGTTGTACTCTATCACTGAGCGAACATATCCTAGATATAAGCCCCTCAGAGTTTCCTTGTCTGATCCCCATGATGTACCTGCAAGTCTCTTTAATAACTGTAACCGCCTCAATGCGGTCTGTCAACCTTTTCACAACAGGGTAGATGATGCTGCCAACTTGCGAGGAAAATGTTGGCTGATGTTTCTGATGCAAACCTGTCTTCATTGCTCTCTAGAAGTGACACCAAGAATTGTCACCCTCTGGACAGAGTCTGTGGTTGGGTGCCTTATCAGTGCTTATCGTGTGGAAGAATCCACCTAACACTCCTTGCTTCATTTTCTTCACATCAGGAGCATTGTCTTTTAAATTTTTAGCATAAGTGTTAGTAATTCTTTCAATAATGGGCTTTGTAAGTTTGCGATTTAGCAACTTCTTATTACCGTGTAGGGACACATTAAGCAGTTATATCCTAGTTGTTACAATAAACAGTTCTGTCACAGTTGTTACATTAAACAGTTTTATCCCAGGTGTTACAGTAAAGAATTATGTCTGAGTTGTTCCATTAAACAGTTATATCTCACTTGTGGTATTAAACACTTATATTTAACTTTTTACTTTAAATTAGTTTAATCACAGTTGTTACATAAAAAAGTTCTATCAAGTCATACAAGAAACATTTCTGTCCAAGCTGTTGCATTAAACAGGTATTTCCAAGTATTCCACATTTATATCCAAGTTTTTACATTAAACAGTTATATCCTAATTGTTTTTTTTTAACAACTATATCCCAGTTGTTACATTAAATATCCCCATATTAAAAACATTACACAGCTGTATCCCAGTAAAAATCATCTAACCAATATGAAACTGAGTAAATGTCATTGTTGTAAATATAAAAGTAGCTGTTTAATTTTAGTAATTTTTTTTTTTTTTTAATTTTAGCACATGCATCTTCTGTGGTGAAAAAAATGAAAGTTTTACAGAGGAGGGTCTGGATCTTCATTACTGGAAAAACTGCCCAATGCTGAAGCGCTGTGCCAACTGTAAACAGGTAATTGTGAAATATGCATTGGCTTCTCCATGTTGTTCAGCACTGCAGACCTTCATCAGTGTGAAGTAATACATTCAGTTTGATTTTAGAAATAATGGCATGAATCTGACTGGTGGTACTTTGGCGTTATCTTCTTTTTTTCTTCTTCTGATTCTTCTTTTTTTCTTCTTCTTGTTCGTCTTCTTATTCTTCTTCTTCTTTGTCTTCTTCTGCTGTTCCTTTTCATCTGTATAATTTATCTTGTGAATGGACTATGACATCTTTATTTATATCCCTTTTCTGATTTTGACATGCATTTGTTTAAAGTTAACTTGCTCTAGACCATCGGTTCTCAACCTGTGGGTCAGACCCCTTTGGGGGTCGAATGACCCTTTCACAGGGGTTGCCTAAGACCATCTGAAAAATATATATTCACTGAAGTTATGAAGAAGCAGCAAAATTGATTGTATGGTGGGGGGGGGGGGGGGGGGGGGGGGGTCACCATAATATGAGGAACTGTATTAAAAGGTTGTTGCGTTAGGAAGGTTGAGAACCATTGCTGTAGACAGACTAACTCCAAGTTCTACAAGCCATAAGTATTCATTTCCTGACAGTTTTACCAGTACAGTGATAGTATGGCTTACTGATGCACAGAAGAAGACTTGCATTAGCAATGCAGAGATTAAACAGTATGAAGAACTATGGCAAAGCACCTGTAAATTAGTTCAAGTAAAAATCTTGAGATCATGCATTTTTCTTGGGCTAGCTTTCTATTGTGAGTCCTGGACACTCACTCAGTCACGGAAGAAAAAGATTAGAGCTTTTGAATTAAAATGTTACAGAAAAGTTCTCAGAAAACCATGGATCAAGAAAAGGAAAAACATCGTCATTCTACACGAGTTAATCAATCGAGGAGAACTGGCTCATAGACAGCGTCCTGTGGCGAAAGTTGAAGCATTTTGGCCACATCAAATGTCATGGTGGCTTGGAAAAGACGGTGATGGAGGGTGCAGTTTGTGGAAAGTGAGGCAGGGGTCGACCTCCGCGAAGACAGTTAAAGGAGATCGAAGATGCATTGGCATTGAAAGCACATGGGGCTGGAGAGCTGGCTAGGATAAGGGATACTTTCAGGCGTGCCTTGAAGAGAGCAACATTCTGTAGAGGACTTGCTGATTGATGATGATGATGATGCACTTTCAAACTGGCATAGGATTCTCTACTTGCACATGGTGTATCCTGTTTTTCTGCATCTGTCAGGGAAGACAAGCTACTTGGTCTTATTGCCCAAGAGATAGGGGAATGTATGATACCACTAGAGCTCAGCTGTTCTTGTACACACTATGTTGTTATCCCTGTGTAGCATTCAAAAACAGTAACACATGAACCTGTGACTGACAGTGTATCCTCAGAGCCACCCTTTTAATAAAGGTAAAGTTATTATAACGCCAACAGATTGTTTAGAATTTCTTAGCAGGTTTCTCTACATATAGTGTTACAGGAACATCTCAGCAAATAAACTACATATAGTGTTACAGGAACATCTCAACAAATAAACTACATGTTACAGGAACATCTCAGCAAATAAACTACATATAGTGTTACAGGAACATCTCAGCAAATAAACTACATATGGTGTTACAGGAACATCTCAGCAAATAAACTACATATAGTGTTACAGGAACATCTCAGCAAATAAACTACATATAGTGTTACAGGAACATCTCAGCAAATAAACTACATATAGTGTTACAGGAACATCTCAACAAATAAACTACATATAGTGTTACAGGAACATCTCAGCAAATAAACTACATATAGTGTTACAGGAACATCTCAGCAAATAAACTACATATGGTGTTACAGGAACATCTCAACAAATAAACTACATGTTACAGGAACATCTCAACAAATAAACTACATATAGTGTTACAGGAACATCTCAGCAAATAAACTACATATGGTGTTACAGGAACATCTCAACAAATAAACTACATGTTACAGGAACATCTCAGCAAATAAACTACATATAGTGTTACAGGAACATCTCAGCAAATAAACTACATATGGTGTTACAGGAACATCTCAGCAAATAAACTACATATGGTGTTACAGGAACATCTCAACAAATAAACTACATATAGTGTTACAGGAACATCTCAACAAATAAACTACATGTTACAGGAACATCTCAGCAAATAAACTACATATGGTGTTACAGGAACATCTCAACAAATAAACTACATATAGTGTTACAGGAACATCTCAACAAATAAACTACATATGGTGTTACAGGAACATCTCAGCAAATAAACTACATATGGTGTTACAGGAACATCTCAGCAAATAAACTACATATAGTGTTACAGGAACATCTCAGCAAATAAACTACATATAGTGTTACAGGAACATCTCAACAAATAAACTACATATAGTGTTACAGGAACTTCTCAGCAAATAAACTACATATAGTGTTACAGGAACATCTCAACAAATAAACTACATATTGTTACCTTTAGATATGATCATGTTGTTGTATGAATGGGATAAAGTATTGGGGTACAGTTTGAACGCAGTGCCAGGAGGTTGTCATTTGTTGTCTCGACAGGTTGTGGAAATAGCAACATACACAGATCACATCCTGACAGAGTGTGAAACAAAGTCCAACTTCAGTAAATGTCCTCGGTGCACAGAGGCCATTGCAAGGTCAGAGTTTGACCAGCATGTTGCAGACAAGGCCTGTAGTGGTATGTAGTCTGTGTTTCGTTGCGGGTTGTCAAACATCTGATTCTAAGTCAAAACAAATAAAGACCTTTTATTTCTCACCATGAAAGGTACATTTTCTGACTATGTACTCAATGGATGATGTGGTCAGTTTCCTGCCAGCTGCCTTTACTTCCCAGCAATTTCCGGTTAACACTGTCATGTGTTAATTACTCCTTCAAATATTCTCGTTTTTGACCTATGAGGTGGAGCACACAGATGTGTCCACTGAGTTCTCAGCCACAGAGCTGCACTTGATAGAAGTAACAGTTAGATGAAACTGAAAGGATCCTGACAACAAAACATGCAAGGTCATGGGATACCAAAGGTGGAATTTACATCAGCCTAACTGAACTCACGTACTCAGTATGAAAAATGTCCTAAACAAAGAATACAAGCAAGGGCTGACATGTTTATTACCTGCTGCGAGTGTCCGAGACCATTCTAGTCTGGCTCAGCCTGTCAGCTCAGTCAAGACAAGTGGGGCGCACCCTTACGGAGATGCAAACACCTGACATGTTGAGCCAGCAGGCAAATGTGCCAGCCAGGTGCTACTTCAACTTCCCACAACAGAAATGTACTGTTCATAAAATCAGTTTTTGGGTATTGTAATTCTGAGTTCATTAACCCTATGGAGACGGAGCTTTTTTGGATTTCCAGTGCCAAGAAAACGGGGAGTCTAAAAGTTTATACACAAAAATTTATTAAAATATAGAGCGCTTAATTAACATATACAAAACTATATATATTCGTGTATGAAATTGAATGAACTAACAGAATATTTATGAATCAAACTGAAATCTCAACATTTATTCAAATTACCTATTCTGAATTGCATAATGTATGCACGCAGTTTTTTAAAAACTTGGAAACAAACATAACTAACCTGAAAAATTTCATTGAATTGTTTTATGGATGAATCTTGAATTAGTCCTAACACCTGTATGTTGAGAAGTAAGGCCCTTGGAGGCCCTTCAGACATGTCTGCCACATGGTTCTACTCATTTTCCTGCCTCCAGCCATGTTTCAGTTGCTATGATGCAACAGTCCTTTTCACAATTTTTGTGTGCACAGGTAACCCCAGAAAAAAATTGATGTAAAATTACAGAACACATCAAACTTTCATGAAAGCTGTCAGTGAACAGCCCACATGTGAAAGAAATGCGAGAAGCAGTCTGATTGGCTGGTGCAAAAACCTGCCAGCCAATATCAAGGCTTTTATTACACAGGGCCGACCGATCGGCCAAGCCGCCCCTCTGGCTACTTTGCATTAGGCTGATATTTTTGGCCGCGTCGTCTCCAGAGGGTTAGCTGTCGATATTTGATTCTGAGTACACTATTTGTGAAACTTTGGTTCTGAATGCCTTAATTGTGAAATTATTATTCTGAGTACATTGATTGTGAAATGTAGGCTCTTAGTACATTGATTGTGAAATGTAGGCTCTGAGTACATTGATTGTGAAATGTAGGCTCTGAGTACATTGATTGTGAAATGTAGGCTCTGAGTACATTGATTGTGAAATGTAGGCTCTGAGTACATTGATTGTGAAATGTAAGTTCTGAGTAAATTGATTGTGAAATGTAGGCTCTGAGTACATTGATTGTGAAATGTAGGCTCTGAGTACATTGATTGTGAAATGTAGGCTCTGAGTACATTGATTGTGAAATGTAGGCTCTGAGTACATTGATTGTGAAATGTAGGCTCTGAGTAAATTGATTGTGAAATGTAGGCTCTGAGTACATTGATTGTGAAATGTAGGCTCTGAGTACATTGATTGTGAAATGTAGGCTCTGAGTACATTGATTGTGAAATGTAGGCTCTGAGTACATTGATTGTGAAATGTAGGCTCTGAGTAAATTGATTGTGAAATGTAGGCTCTGAGTACATTGATTGTGAAATGTAGGCTCTGAGTACATTGATTGTGAAATGTAGGCTCTGAGTACATTGATTGTGAAATGTAGGCTCTGAGTACATTGATTGTGAAATGTAGGCTCTGAGTACATTGATTGTGAAATGTAGGCTCTGAGTAAAATACTCATAAATAAACAGGTGGGAAACCCTTGAGGCTACAGAAACAGTATACAAGAAACAAATAGACACATAATGACTGGCACTCTGTGAAAGAAGTAGAGAGTTAGGAGGACACAATTGACAAAAATTATAATCAAAAGCTAAAGTAACCATATCAAGCTTTGAATCTCTCACCTCCAAATGATGACAGCGCCTCACTGCAGGTACAAGAGTTTATTCTGAGTACAATCATTGTGAAGAGTTGATTCTGAGTAATCACTGTGAATTGTTAATTCTTGGTACTTTCATTTTGAATAGTTGATTCTACCATTATTTTGAATGTTTGACTCTGAGTAGAATCATTGTGAATAGTTGATTGTGAATACATTAATTAAAAAAATTTAAAAAAGAGGTGTAAAATGTTTGAACAATTTTTACCAGCTGCCAAGCCTGGATTGAATCACTGCCCATTGTGTCATGAGAACATTCCTTCTGGTGAAGACGGATGGAAAGAACATTTGATGAGCAAGACAGGATGCAAACAGAACCCTCGACGGTTGTTGGCTGTAAACAAACCAGCAGCTGGGACATTAGGTAAGTGCACTGTAGGTTCACACTGAAATTGCTTAGGGGTGGGGGGGGGGGGGGGGGGGGGGGGGGGGGGGGGGGAAGAAAGAATATGTAAGAAATTAGCAAAAGCGGTTTTTGCCATCTCAGTATTTAGACACAGGTTACCAAGCCTGAGCAGGATTGTAGATATCATGTGTTGCCTGTGCAGCATAATCCTCGCTCGACCTGCTTTGTTTAGTCCAGTGGAAAGATAACACCAATATGTTTGGGACAAAGCATACTGCAGAAGCTACCAGATCAGAAGAGCAGTGCTCTGTCCCTCTGTTGGAAATTCCTTCCTAGACCAGCTGCCAACGAAAGTAAAGGGACTAGTCTGTCCTGTTATTAACATAAAGTTTTCAGATTCAGTCCCATCTTCCTGGTATAAGACTAGTTATCCTCCCCAATGTACTGCTCCAGTCAAAGTCGTTAGCACACTTTAGGATGTCAGAGCTGGCATATGGTACTAAACTTTTTCAGCATTAACAGTGAACAAGAAGTACTGACTACTGTTATACGCTAGCTCAGTCATATCTGACCAAGTTAACGCAGAACAAGAGTACTGACTATTGTTATATGGTCGCCAAGTTATCTATGACCAAGTTAACAGTGAACAAGCAGCACTGACTATTGTTGTATAGTACCTCACTTGTATCTTACCAAGTTAACGGAGAACAAGCAGTACTGACTGGTAATCTGATAATCTTAGTTTCAGCTTCATAGCAAATGGGTCACCCAATAGTTGCTCCGCTCTTGTGCCAATGAAAAACACATAAAACGGTTATCACAGTTCAAATGAAATCCGCAGCTCACAGTGTTATGCCATGCACTTAACTCAGAAGCTGGGCAATGAAACTGTATCCTTCCAGTCTACAAATGGAGCAAAAATTCAACGGCCATCGTCTGGCAAAAGCAAAAAAAAATTGCCATTGCTAAAAAAAGTGGCTGTGCCTAGCGCCCATTTTGACCTGAAGCATTATGTGAGGGTTAATAAACGGTCACCCCAGCAGTACCCTCACTGTTAGCTGGGGAAGGGGCTTAGGACATTACATCCACCAGCAAGCGTCGCCCCCATAATGACCTGACTGCCTTCGTTAACGACTGTTCACCCAACAGCCATGCAGTTCTTTGACATGAAGGAGACACCTTGAACATGGGTCTGCCACCTCCCTACAAAATGTTATGTTTTTTCATGTTATCACAATCGACATCACTGCACATTGGGCATTCCCATGCGTGCTCAGTGCTCAGTTACAGTACTGACTATTGTCATATGGTTATATCTGACCAAGTTAACATAGAACAAGCAGTACTGACTATTTTTATACAGTAGCTCAGTTGAATCTGACAAAGTTAACAGAGAACAAGCAGTACTGACTATTGTTATATGGTAGCTCAGTTAGATTTGACCAAGTTAACAGAGAACAAGCAGTACTGACTCCTGTTATATGGTAGCTCAGTTAGATTTGACCAAGTTAACAGAGAACAGATAGTACTGACTCCTGTTATATGGTAGCTCAGTCATATTTGACCAAGACCTGACATATAAATAAATTCACAGATTACCAGGCTTTTTGTGAGGTTCCTTGAGCTTATACTGGTTTTGTGAATCCTGAAGCTTCCTGTGTGGCTTTAGGGCCCCATTATGGGGAAAACAAGAACAAACCCATTGATTCCCCAGCAAGCAAGTCCTTTGAAGTTGGAATACATCATCCTGAGAGACAAGAAACCAAAAGTCTGCACACAAATAAGCCAGATCTGTGCAATCAGTCTGCACACAACACTGAGGCTCTGCAACAAGACTAAAGTCAGGAGGTGGACGAACAACCAGAACTTTCCATCCATCAGCGTTAACAGCCGGTGTACTCCACAGTGACGAATTCTAGAGTGGGTCCTACCCACATTGAATTAGCAATATCTCATCTAACTACACCTATGTCATCAGGGGGCTTATACAGGAAGCAATGAATTGTAACATTGCGGCGTCCGGGTCCGTGGCTTAGACGTTGCAAGTCCGACTCGTAATCCAACGTACCGCGATCGAAACCCACTGCTGGCTGTGTGGATTTTTATCATGGTATGGGGCGTCGCAGGTCAACCTAGCCTAAAATTGGTACCATGATGGCTGTCCTGGGGAAGTAAAGACGGCTGGCGTAATGCTGACCACATTACACATCCAGTGCCGATTGGTCTGTAAAAATATGGGATGCTCTTCCCATATACCCAATGCGCCTAAGGCATGAAAAGGGATCTTTACTTTACTTTAATGAATTGTAACATTAAACTTACAAGCATGTTGGCAGCTAGAGAAGGCATATATAGGATTGGCTAGTCCATTCCATAGCATAAGGCAAATAGCTTAACCACTTAGCCTCCCATTGAAAAGTTAATCAGCCCACCATGATGAAAGTAAGTGCTTCTTCTAGAAGAAGTATGAATCCTTGTTGAATAAGCTAATCAGAATCTCAATCACCAAGTGTCTCCCCATGAACTAACAATAAAATGCTTCCTCTTTATTTCATACTCCTGCAAGTCTGCTTTCTTTAGCAGCTTCAGCAGGCACCCTTCTCTCCTGCTTCTGGTGTTTCTTTGATCTCCAATACTTTGGCAAATAATTGGTGCAACAGTTCAGTTGATTTGTTTATATTTGTTTTAATAGCTTCAGGACCAGCAGAATGAATGAATGAATGAATGAATGAATGAATGAATGAATGAATGAATGAATGAATGAATGAATGAATGAGTGAGATTCAACCCCTCCAGGACATCCATCAAGCAATAAACACTAGGTGACACAAAGTGCCATGATGCGGATCACCCAGGGAGAGGCCCCAGAAACCCCATTTAACCATTATGTTATATTAAAGCACCTGAATACAGCTGAAGTAGTGCTTTAAAATAACGAAACATTGCATCCCATATCGAGGCGACAGATTACGACCAACAGCTTTCTCATCTTTCAGTTTTATTCCTTTCTAACTTCTTTAGATGAGTAAATGAGCCATTCCAATAGCTTTTAGCCTGTTGCCAGTAATCGTCACTACTTATCTCATCTGTTAACTGTTGTAAGAGCTGGTAGTGACTGTGACCATAAATTGTTCCATAGCTTCTTGGTTTCTTAGATATTCTATTTTGCATTGATTTTCATGTTTATAGTAGTTTCATTATTTCCCTTTTGTATGTCTAAGGTTCTAAGACAGCAGTTAAAAGCAAAGGAGTGAAAACAGTTCTTGGACGAGGAAAGAAATAAGATTTGAGGTAACAGTCAGTAAATTTTTTTTTTTAATGACATAATGAGAAAAAGAAGTAAAATAAACCAGAATCGGGGATAAACTATTCAGGTTTATGAAAGGTAAAGGTACAAACAATATTTTCCGAACATTAGCAGAAAGAATTATTGAAATAAAGAGATCCATTTTTGGACTTTTTTTGGACTACACTAAAGCATTTTGATGAAAAATGGAGAAATGTTGCAGTGTTGGAAACCTTAATCATTGAAGGTAAAGATTTGAGAATAATAAAACAATGTATAATGGCAGCCACAGAAAGTGTTAAATCAATTGGGAACTTTTTAACATAAGAAACAGTGTGTTATACAGGGCTGTATATTATCCCTATACCCATTCAGTGTTTGCAGTGAAATAGCAGTAAGATTTGTAGAAGGTATGTCAGGCGTTTGTTTTCAATATACAGTGAATATATAATGAGAGCTTTAATCGGTATGTCCGGAATTGTGGTTAGTGGGCACAATATAAACAATTTACGTTGTGCTGATGACACAGTCTTGATAGCAACAAGTCAGAAAGAACTACAGGAAATGATAGACATTGTGGTGTTAGAAAGTGGAAGATTGGGCTTCAGTTTGAATAATGGGAAGACAGAAGTAATGGTGGTATCAAAGAAACAAATTATTCCTAAGTGTGTAATAAAAGTTGATGGTGTTATTTCAGGACAAGTACAGAAATTTAAGTATCTGGGCACATGGATAACATCAGATGGAAGATGCATAACTGAGATAAGAAATAGAATAGGACAGGCAAAAACTGCATTTTATAAAATGAAAAACATCTTGAGCAATATATCCTTGTCATTGAGAGTTAGAACAAGAATTCTTGCTTGCTACATACATCCAGTTTTAACATATGGCTGTGAATCTTGGAAATTGGTAGGCAAGCCAAACAATTTCTGGAGGCCTCGGAGATGTGGTTTTACAGAAGAATGCTTAGAATACCTTGGACAGCCTAAAGGAGCAACCAAGAGGTTTTGAAAGAGGCGGGAGCCCGAAGACAACTTATCACAGACATCAGAAGGAGACAGTCATCATTTTTCGGCCATGTTATGAGAAGAGGGAAAATAGAACATGTTGTGACCACTGGAAAGATATGTGGAAGGAGAGATAGAGGAAGACAATGAGAGAAGATGCTTGACAGTCTTGTTGCATGGCATGGAGGTGTGTCAGCACACGAACTGATACATGCTGCAGGAGATCGCAGATTATGGAGAGGCATGATCGCCCACGCCAGTCGGCAAGGCACCTGATGATGATGATGATGCCAGGCGTATCAGAAGATGAGCATAATGTGCAGTACTGATGTGGTTTTGATCGCTAAAAATGAAATGTGCTAACAATTGTTAGACATCATTGTAACAGAAAATCAAGAAAAATGTCTGAACAGTGGAAAACAGAAGTAATGGTACTTAGAACAAAGTTTTTCACAATGCAGCAAAGTAAATGGGTCTAGTCTGAAGTAAGTAATTGTGTACAATAATGCAGCAAAGTAAATGAGTCTAGCCTGAAGTAAGTAAATGTGTACAATATTTAAATAGCCTGACACCAGCAGAAATATTTTTAAAATATCAAAAGTAGAATAGCCCATGCAAATGCAGCATTCAGAAGAGAACAAACATTTTATGCAATTTATCCTTTTCAGATAGGAGAGAAAGAGATTGCAAGAAATCTCAGTTCTGACTTATAGATGTGAAGCATGGGCAGTCAGTAGATTTGTGAAACGTGAAATTTCAAGAGATATTGTTTAATAGAAGCATTTTTTAATTCAAACGTTATAAAATGCAAACAAGCCTAAATTGACTGCTCGCCTGATCTTCTTCTTCTTCTTCACTTCCTCTTTTACCGCTATGGGTGTCGAGGGAGATATAAGGTTCTGTTTCTAGCTCTTCTGGCTGCCTCGACCATAGGCACATCGTGCTGTTGTAGAGTTTCTCTGATGTTATCCTTCCATCTTGTTTTTGGTCTACCCCATGCTCTACGTCCTTCTTCTCTTTCCATGTATGCTTTGTATGGTATGGTGTCACAAGGCATACTCTCTAAGTGGGCAAACCATTTCACTTGCTGTCTTTGTATGTAATCCAGAATTGGTTCTGTGCCGACTTGTTCTCTTATGATCTCATTCCTGATCTTATCTCTTATGGTCACTCCTACAGCCCTTCTCAGACATCTCATTTCCGTGGTTACTAATTTTCTTTTATGGTTTGTTGTGAGTGACCATGTCTGGCACTGGTAGCACAGAGTTGGAATAAATATGCTTTGAATAAGATGTCTCTTTGTGCTGATTGGGATTGTCTTATGCTGTAAGAGGGGGGCTAGCTGTCCCAATACTTGGTTTGCTTTACTGCATCTAATGTCAATTTCTTTATCCAATTTCCCATCTTCAGTAAATGTAGTTCCCAGATATTTAAACTCAGATGCCTGTTTACTGCCTTTGAATTCTATTGCTTTGTTTAGATCTGTCTTCTTTTTTCCTATTAACATTACTTCTGTCTTTTCAGTATTGATTCTCATAATATTTGTTTTACATTCTTCATTCATGGATGTTAGATGTTGTTGCAATTTCATGGCTGTATCTGCTATCAAGGCCTGGTCATCTGCAAAGAGTAATTCGTTGATCTTACTAAGATCTTCATTCATGAGCTTGGCATTCTTGCAAAAACTGTCGATGTAGGTGATAAACAGCAGTGGTGATAAGACACACCCCTGTCTTACTCCAGATGTCACTGTGAAAGGATGAGATGTTCCCTGATTTATTCTAACTACACTTCTACAATCCCTGTATAAACTTTTGCACACTTCGATGAGGTGTTCGCTTACTCCATATCTTGCCATTATTTTCCATAATAATTGTCTGTCGACTCTGTCATAAGTATGCGAATTGGTCAAATTTAATTATCAACTTGTTTACCTATATACCTGTACTTTTTTTTAGTATTTATGGCCACAAGGCTAGTGCTGTCGCCATGACAGTGCAGGTCTTGATCCCATGTGGCTTAGATAATGAATGTAAATAAAAAGATTTCGGCAGAGTGACTTTTCCCTGAAAAGTTTAATCGTACTTCTGAACATTCGAAACAAGTACACTGCCGTGTGCCAAGCAAAATGTACGGGACACATGATCAACGATGGCAGCGCTGTTTGGGCAAAACAAAACTTCTCAAACAATGCTCACACCGTTGCTTGGGCCTCAAAGTGTTAATAGACTTCACTTTAACAACACAACAAATCTGAAACCTTCTTGAAGAAACAGTATTGGCTGTTTTGGGACATATAATATATCAAATTAAAGATAAGTGAGTGCAGAATTAATCTATACTTTTTAAATGTCAGTATTACAACAAAATATTATTAAAATCACACAACATTCAAGGCTGTTAGACACAAATGAAGATTATTGACATACAAAATTGTGTGCTTACCTTACGTTTTTACTTGTTGAACAACACTTCTATCCAGCTCTAAGACTGTACATGCTTTCTCTGTTCAGTTATGTATCAGTAAGTCTTTATTTGAAACAGTTCAATACTTTAGATGTTATGATCATTGTTATATGACACTAGCTGTACCCGGCCACACGTTGCTGTGGCATAGTTTGGCTAAATGGAAAAGAAAGAAAATAGAAATCGCAAGTGCCTAATATGGTTACTGTCACAATCATTGTCTTTGCACATACAGAGAT